AACCTATGGCTCATGAGCCAAATTTGGCTCACGAACCGACCAGTTTGGCTTATTGAGGCATGGCTGAAAATCATGATTGTTTATTTTCTCATTTTTCTCACGTGTCTGTTGCCAACTTCAGGGAAAATTATGTTGTTCCGAAAGTATATTGCTCATAAGCGCTCGGCTCAATCTTAATATGGCTCATATGACCATAAAGGTTCCCGACCCCTGATCTAGAGTAATACCAGGTGGCCCAAAAAAAGTCCCAAACTCTATGCATCTACAGACAGGAATATTAAGTATAGTCTTGAAATTTTCAGTGTGTCATATTCAATATGTTTAGTTGGCTACAGGAAATTTTCAATGAAATTTCCTGCTCTGTACACAAGTAAGAGCTCTTTCTGCAAATTTATGGCAATGCATTCACCTTAAGTGCTGCCTTGGTGAGTGCTCACTGGAGGACACATCAATCATCGAACATTTCTTTAATTGAGGTCTGTTGCACTTCTATGTACACTCGCCCTATTGACATTGCGCAGGAGGAAAACTGTTACTCAGGTAGTTAACTATAAATTTCATCGAAATTTTTTACATTACCTGCAAATATTGGATGTGATACCCTGTAAATTTCCTATTGGTAACTCATATAGTATTCCATCTGCAGGCAAGTAAAGTTCAGGACTTTTTTGGGCCACCTGGTATATCTGTCAATCTTGATGCTTGTAGGGACCATCTTTTTACAAGATGAGGGATATCATGATCCCTTGTTGTCCCATTCATATTTGAAGCCACCTCGTACCATTAGGTAAGGTCATGCCTGTGGCATAATATTGGTAATTATTCAGATAAAAGTCAAGTGAAATGAATTCATCATAATCAAGCAAGGCAGAACTTTGACAGTATATAAGAACTGGTATTCCATTGAGGGGTCATGATGCTTGGTCCTTTTTGGGACTGGATGACCTTTCTATAAGGTCATAAGTAGTTAAACTTCATATCCTTGTGATCACTCCTGTTAAACTGTTCATCAATCCATATTAGGACATAATTCTCAGCCTCAAAATTTGAAGTAAAATGTATACTTTGTGTGAAATCAAATTTTTTATTTCTCTCACATTTCCAATCCTAGGTATGCAATTTTTTTTTACCTAAATGACCTAATTCAAAAGCCAAGAATCATTAATGAAAAAGTTGTACATGACATAGGGACACATGACATAACTCTGGGAAACTGGAGGAAGAGAAACTTGATCGCTGGTTGAATAACTGTGGTAGAAACTTTGTTAGTTTCTAAAAGCGTACATTTATTCACTGTTTTGCTGGGTCCAAGTAAGAAATGGTTCAAGCAGATAACACACTCCTTTTCAAGTATATTTGGCACAGAATTGAAAATAATGAGATATTTTATTTTGTATCAAGATTAGAAAAGGGGGGTTGAAGGTGGTGCATTTGGAAAACATTGCCTTGGTCCTGAAAATGTATTAATTGCAGAAATTTATCACAACCCTAGGCAACTGGCACAGTATGTTAGGGGAATGATAGAAGACTTGGAACTTGATGATTTGATGAATTGCAGAAAGCTGGAACTGATTTGTGAGAAAATTTTGAAACTTTTTTTTTGGAAAGAAGTGCTGTTTGCTTGGATGAAAGTCCTAACAATTTTTTAATTACCAGGACGCCTTAGCATCCCCACTGTGGCACATGCCATTAACATATTTTTTAAATCTAGAGCAGCCCCTTAGCTGGGAAGCAAGAGGTATAATAACTATAGGAGATGTTATTGATGTGGGTGGAAACTTTCTCAGTTGGTCAGATAAAAAAATGACAAGTTGAAAGGGACATGGATTACTAAAGTCTTCAACACTCAATTTCACCATTGATAATAAAATCAATAAAGAAAGCAAAGAAGCCAGCATGCAGACCAATGTGAAGCAATTTAGTGAAATATTTCACCTCAGAAAAGAGTTTCAAAGATATACCTAGTTCTGCCATAAATACTGTTACAAGATTTACATGTTCCTTGCATCTAGCAAAAGAAGCTAGAAACTTGTAACCTGGTAATCGTGTAGTGTATTATCTGCCGTATTGTTTGGTAACATTTTGGCTGTTGTGTTGCATGCAGTAAACATGGAGTGGGGTGACAAAGAGAATCGCATAGCAGTGATTGCCCTGCACAAAGTGGGTCAGAAACCTGCTATCATTTCAAGACTTTGCAGCCACTTGGAATCAGTTGGCAGTTGGTTTGTTTACCGAGCTATCAAACATTACAATGATACTCAGGGAGTACGAGACCGCCCTAGATCTGGATGTCCACCCACTCCCAGAACACCACGAGTCATCAAAGAAGTTAGCAATAGGATTCAGCGAAATCCTCTGTTCAAGCAGAAAGTGATGGCCAGGGAAATGGCCATCTCGACTAGAAGCACATGTCAGTTGATTAAATCAGACCTAAGGATGGGTGCCTACCAAAGAAGCACAGGACACATGCTGACTCCATCTCTGAAAGAAATCAGGAGGTTGCAATCGAAAGTGTTGCTGCAGAGGTACGTGCAAAACAGACACCACAAAATCCTCTTTACTGATGGGAAAATCTTCACTGTTGAAGAAAAATTCAACTGGCCAAATGGCCAAGTGTATACCCACAACTCTTGGGAAGCTGCAGAAGTCATCCATAAGGTGAAGAGAGGTCACCATACTGATTCTGTCATGGCTTGGTGGGGGGTGAGTTATGAGGGTGTCACCTAGCTGCATTTTTGCAAGCAAGAAGTGAAGACATCAGCCAAAGTGTACCAGGAAGAAGTCTTAGAGAAGTCAGTGAAGCCTCTCAGCTAAAAAATGTTCAATGGGGGCAACTGGATCTTCCAGCAAGACTCTGAACCTGCTAACAAGGTTAGGACAATGCAGGAATGGCTAGCCAGCAATGTCCCCGAATTCATCAAGGCCTCCAATTGGCCATCTGGGAACCCAATGGACAACAAACTGTGGGCAGAGTTGGAGCTGAAGGTCAACCACAGAAGACATCCAAATATTGAAAGTCTCAAGCGAGCCCTTGCAGAATCAGCAACCAATATCCAATGGAAGTGGTGTGTACTGCGATGGATGAGTAGTCTGCTCATTTAAAGTTGTGTGAAGGCCAGGGGTGGACATTTTGAGTAATGTTTCTGTAATATGTTAGTAATTATGTAGGGAAATAAATGCTGTTAGCAAATACAGCATATGTTTTATATGAAAAGAATTATTACAAAAAAACCTTGTAACAGTATTTATGGCAGGACTAGGTATACCAGGTGGCCCAGAAAAAGTCCCGAACTTTACACACCTGTTGATGCAATACCATATAAAATATAGACAGGAATTTTACAGGGTTTTATGTGTAATATCTGCAGGTGGTCACAAAAATTTCAATGAAGTTGGTAGTTAACTACATAACAGCTTTTCTCCCATGCAGTGTCAAAAGGATGAACATGCAAAGAAATGCAACTGACCTCAATGAAAAAAATGATTGATGGGTCCTTCATCGATGTGTCCTCTGGCAATCATCCACTGAGGCAGCACTCAAGGCAAACAAACTGGACACACTATCCCATTTGACAACTTGTACAGAAAGAGCTCTTACTCATGTTCAGAGCAGGGAATTTCACTGAAATTTTCCTAAAACTGCCTACACATATTGAATATGACACTTTGAAATTTAAAGATAATACTTAATATGGTATCCTGTCTGTAGATGCATAAAGTTTTGAACTTCTTTTTGGGCCACCCAGTATATCAAAGCCTGAATTTTTCATGACTCAGGCTATATCATTTAAATAAATGGCAAGAGCTAGGAAACAGACAACCTCTAGAGATGGAGGAAATTTTCCCAAGAACAAGGAAACTCTCAAATCAAAATAATCTGAGAATCTTTCAATACAAGCTTGTCCACAGAATCTTAACGACCAAGAGCTGGTTGAAGAAGGTTGGTTTGAAACAAGATGACAATTGCAGAATGTGTAAAAGTCACAAAAATATTATGTGGACGTGCTCAGAAACGAATAAATTCATACAAGAATGCTGCAACTGGATAGGTCAACTAGACAGGCAATACAAAGGTATGCCAATTTCTCTTTTGACTTGAACTGCCAGATTATTTCCATTTAAACTATGTCCTTGAGTTGAAATATTACCTCTTTCTGTGCTCTAGTTTTGAAAAGAAACCCAATAAACTTCCTTATCAAAGCAGGCTCTTAGAATCATGCAAAATTGAAAAAGAGATTAATTATACATGGTGACAATTCATGGACACACTTGATTTGCTAATAAAATTGTTTTATTTGGATAGTACAAATTCAAGATACCAAACATTTGAAAGAACATAAAGTGGAAATATTGTTGGCAAACACGTCTCTTCAGTTTTTGAAAATGACTGATATCAGGTAACTTTTGCCCTAGTGTATACATTCATGGCAGCAAAAAAAGGAAATTGTCCATGATTTGCTGAAGAGTTTCAGGAGAAATGAGGCTTATTTCATCTCTGATGTTATTTTTCAGTTCAGTTAACATTCGTGGTTTAGTCAGATATACCTTGGACTTGGAAGTAGCCCCACAAAAAAAATTGTCCCCCTGTAGAACGGATACATGGGAGGTGTTTGATTAAAAATGGAACCCTTTGAAGACTTTGTTGGAGGATATGTGAAGGTCTCTCTTGCTCTGTCTCTCTCTTATTTTGTTTCTCATTTAGCATTTCTTTTTGTCCCTGCATACAATAGAGTCATTTTTATTTGATTTATACTACTTGTTTGTCAGTTGTGGTACATTTCTTCTTTTTATGCTTCTGTTTTTCCTTCACCAAAACTGATATGTTGAGTTAGCACTTTCCTCAAGTTTGTTATGGTTTATTTACTATTTTCTTTAATAATAAAAAATTGGTTTTATCTCAGAATTTAGGATCCAGACTAAATATCATCCCTTGGTTATTATATATTGGTAAGCTAAAGTAGCAGTAGTACTGTCTGCTGATAGCTGTACCAGCTTCTCTTCATTTCTGCGTGAACTTCACAGACTCAATCAGGTATATATTTAAGATGGTTGAGGGACCAGGATGTAAGCTGAAAGGAGAGAATATGAAGAAGCGGTTGGTGCGGCAACAAGTAGCATCAGTAGCTGGTAATGCTCTCATGAAGGTGACCTTCATCTCCATGATATTTTCTTTGTTTTGTTGCTTTGTTCCGATTGGATTGTGAGCTCATGACTCATTAAGTAGGGTGGGAAGAAGGCAGCAGAGACATCTCCTTTCCTCTGCCTGAATGGCTCACACTTGACAGATGTGAAGACAGTTGGGAAGGAACTGTTTGCTTTTTTTGACAATGGGAAGTGCCTGCGTGTCCACTTCCTCATGAGTGGCTGGATCCAATACAACAAGGAAGGGCATGATAAGCATTTCAAGAAGAGCCAGATTGATGTGAATCCAACCCTTTGCCTTGTCTTCAATAAGGACACCATGAAGCTCTATAAGAGCTCTGTGGAGATCAGGTAGATATTGTTCCCTTTTTATTCTTGCAAAACTCCTCAGATCAGGCCAGGGAAGGGGGTAACTGCCATGGCCATCCAAGCATAAGGGCTGTCACACCAACTTTGATATCAAGCAAACAGGCTCAAATTAGGGAAGCCTTCAAACTATCAGGTCTTGTTAGTTCAGGTTAAGATCAGGAGATACTAGGGGCTTTCAATTTAGTTCACTTTGAGGTTTCAATAGCAAGACAATTGAAAAATTTTGGATATGCTGGATATACTCATACTGGTAAAAAAAAAAATCCAACATTTTGTGTCCCAGATTCCACAAGCAGCACTGAACCAACTTGTATACACCTCTTGTTAATGTGAAACATGTGATTCAGCTTTGTTTGCATGCCCAGAAAATGGAGCAACTGAGGGTATAAAGTAATTTTATGGTCTGTGTGCATGTCCCATGCTGTATGCATAAGATTTCAAATTGAAGTCCAGTAGTTAGCCTCCTCTGGTCATTTCTGACTGAAGTATTCAATATGTGATGAATGAAGAGGGACAAATGATATTCAAGTAATTCTTGGGTTTGGTTTGGTTTGGGGAAAAGTAGCATGTTCAGGTCCACATCTGAAATCTGCTTCAGCCACTAGCACAAAAAAGTCAAGCCAAAGTTGTCTCTTGGATTTTGATAGTCATTTCAGAGCTCTTGAATCATAGGAGGAAAAGCTGTAAAGTATCATCTTGAGTTTTGCCTTCAGAGCAAAAATGTCATACTATGGTGGTGCCAGTGCTATAAACATTTTAAAACATGTTTTTGAGAGGGTTTGGGTCTCTTGATGCTTTTTCTCTGTTCTCAATGCCTTTCAGGAACAGTGAAGACTGTGAGAAGAGGTATCAAGATTTTCATCATTTGGATATCTGCAGTGATACTTTTGATTCCACTGCTGCAATTCAACTGATGACTGCACAGAGCCATCGCATGGTTTGTGATGTTATCATGGACCAAGACATCTTGCCAGGTGTTGGCAACATCATCAAGAACGAAGTAAGATTCAACAAGCATTGAAATAATTTTAGAACTCCAATTATTTTTCTTACCAGTCTGAGAAAACCCTTCAACCCTTTAAGTATCAATTGATTGCAATGAAACATGGTATCCAATGATTTTCATTAGTGGTAGTAAACTTGAGGTGAACAATAGGAAAAGTGTGACATGGTTGTGCTTGATGAACCAGTGGATTCATATTTTCCCAAGGCTCTCTTCAATGCTGGCATATTTCCTGAGACAAAATTGGTTGACCTAGAGATTGCCCTCATCCGTCGACTTGTTCAGATGATGCGTGATTTCTCTGCTATATTTTCTGAAGTGAGATTATCATTACTTCATTACTTAATTTTTAAAATCATGTTTGATGCATTCCAAGCTGTTCTATGCTTCTAGACAAAAAAGAAGGGTTCTCTGCTCCAACCATACATGAAGGTGTACAGAAAACGTGCCTGCATTGCTTGTAAAGGAAAAATCACTTACTGCAAACCTGGAGAATACCAACGAGGAACCTATTTCTGTCCCTCATGCCAGAACAATAGTCTACCACCACTTGACTCTTCATCTATACAGAGCTGGCTTCAAAGTACTAAAGTTGGGATATCTGAATGGAAATGTCCTCAATGCACCCTCAACAACCTGGACACTCGGAAACAGTGTGCAGCATGTGGACACCCTAATAATGCAGCTAAAAGTGATGTAATGGAAGCTGTTGTTCAGAAGAGAGGGACGAGCTCTCACCCCAGAAAAGAAACAAAAGAAGTCAAGTGTGAGAAGCATAGGAAAGCATGCCTGAAGAAGACAGTCAGCAAGCAGGGAGACAATAAAGGCAGACTGTTTTACACTTGCTCAGTGCAAGGGAAGGATAAGTGCAATTTCTTCCAGGTGAGTTTACATGTTTGTTTTGGGATAATAGACCATTTATGCTCCATTATTGTAAATCTCTATATTTTTTCTCTCTCACTCACTTACATTTTCTTATTTTGCAGTGGGCTGATGAGCATCACCCAGTGTGTAATCATGGGAAAAGGAGTGTGGTACGGCAAGTTATGAAGTGCAATGCAAATAATGGAAGGGAATTCTACTGCTGCCCTAATCCCAAAGCCTCTCAATGTGAATTTTTTCAATGGGTGTCATAATACCCTTCATTCTGGAACCTGGTAGATGTTGGAAGATGCTTAGCCTTATTGCCAGGACTGACTTACTACCTTTTCCAATCAGACTCTGCAAGATCCAATAATTTTTATTCAGCAACTGATCCATAAAATGCAGAACCATCCATTTGATTCAATGGGGTACTACAGTAAATGAATGAAAGGTGCAATCCATTATATAGCAGCTCAGAAAACATAAGTACTGTTCACAAAAAATAACAAATAAGGGTATGGAAGTCACTCACATAAAATCAAAATAAGCCTTTGGTTTTTTGAAGCAGGAATGCTTGGCAGATCTTAAGACAAAAGACAGGAATGAAAAAGAGGAATGCAACAAAAAATAACTTAGGAATGGCAAGGACAGGTAGGACCAGATAGGAATGATAAAGGTGGGAAATACCATGGTGGTACTAAAATAGGGCAGCATGAAGAAAAAACCTGACATCACCAATCTCTTTCAAATCTCAATACATGAATACTTCAATATAGACTGATATCAAAAGCACCAAAAAACATGGAAATTTCCTTCAAGGACAACTGATGCCTTCTACACAGCAGTTAGGGCTGCATAGGTTGAGGATGAAGAGAATAATATATTCTTCCTCTCAGAAAAATTATGCTGATATCTGTATAGTAGATTTGTGTAAAATACACTATGCCATGCATTATATATAGGGTGTCCAAAATATAATTTCCTGTTTTAGTTTTGACATGTCTTGAAAGAGACAAAGCCTTCTTGTGGTTCAATATGCATTTGAAAGTAGAAAGATGGGAGATTTATAAAATATGTCAAAATTTGCATTCTGAATATTGCATCTTAAGATTACACAAGGTACATATTCACTTCCAACTTGAACTTGAGCCAATTTCTTCTATCTTCTCAGAATTGTTGGAGTATACTTGACACAGAACCACAAAGGGTTAAGAAGGCAAGAGCACTTAAAATGACTTGCATGGGTCCAATGTTGAACAAAACATGCAAGAGACACAAACTTCATGACTCCAATTGATACCTTTCAGCTAGAGTATTCAGGATATATGATAAAGGTAGTGAATCCAAATGGAATCACCTGTCTGGAAAGGGTTAATATCTGTGCATACTATTTCTTGTTAACCACAAATTCAGAGGTTGAAAATGAATTTAAAGTTATATTGGAATGAAACTTCACTGAAACAATATGTACCTATGGTGACAATTTTGTCATCTTCCATCTTTTTGCAAATTCAAACGCTGCTGCACTCTGTACTGAGTCAAAAATCATTTCTCTGTTCAAAGGGACATTAGAGGAGTAGTACCATACCATCTCCTGAACAAGACTGGTAAACAAAACATGCCATGGTATGAATCTCATCCTCCCACTACATTAGTGATGGTGTTAAACTAAGATGTATGCATGTTCAAGCTGAAAAGCTTTTGGTATATTTTTGCAAAAAGCTTTTTGAATACAGTGGGAAAAAATCTCCCATCTTCCCATGCACAAATGATGCATGAAGTGCCACCAGGTTTTGCTTCATTTTTAAGATAGGCTTATGCCAAAAACAGGCTAGGATTATATTTTTTGGGACACCCTAGGTATATTTAACCACAAAGCTGTTGGGAGGGGCGTCGCTATCACAGTGGAGTTTGTACGGGACCCATTTTGATTGAAGTCTTCCTGTCTTTTATGATTGATAGCAGACGATGTAGTTAGAGCACAACAACTGACTTGATCAAGGGAGGTATTCAACATAATTTTCAGGGATTAGTCCCCTCTGGCCATTCAAAGTCCCTTCCAACCATCCTGGTTCAGTGGATTGTCTCACTGTTAGACAAAAAATCACAAATTATTTTTCTGAATTATCTGGTAATGAGCAGAGACAAATAGAACTCACCATTTGTGATGATAACATTTGGCTCAAAAGTCAATTCTGAATCATTCTCTCCTACACATGCATACAGGGTCCTCACCCTCCTGCAATGACAAAGTTAACAGGGTTGTGTCAAATGGAAATTTGAAGCCAAAACTATTTGTTTTGACCTTAAAGTAATTACTGATAATGAAAGTAGGGAAGCAGGAGTCTTGTAGAACTCCCAAATCTCTTGCAAGAAGGGAGGGAACAGGAGAAAAACTTATTGGGAGAAGTGGGGAAAGGAACTGAGAATCATTGAGAGCCTATTCCAGTCTCACTTGGTAGTGGCTAAAGGTAAAGAGGGAAACAAGATGGCCAATTCAAATCTAGTAGTAGAATTCCTTTCAGTGACTGTAAAGGACAGTTGGGGGATGGGATTTGGGAGGAGAGTATGACAATTACATCCACAGACAGGCAAAGGGCTGCTCATCAGCACTGGATTCAGATTCAAGAAGGCTGATCTCTAATGATGCCTTTCCCACAGTGCAAAAATGTTAAACTTTCAAATTATGCAGAAAATTTTTGGTTTTAAGCACCAACCTAAAAAAAAACAGCCTTTACCTTGGCCTTATCCAAATGCAAAAAAAAAATTCAGTGAGTAGACCAATACTTTTGTAAACTTTTTTTTTTAGTTATAGCAGGACAACAAAAAATGGAAACCAAACTGGTTAAGAAAAAGAGTGACCTGTTTTTGAAGAGGAGACCCTAACAATAACATGAAAGGCAAGACTTAGAAATAAGGCCCATGTCACCGTATCACAAAGAAAGCCAAAAGGATCTGCATTCTAATTTTTTCTAAGAAAGGACAGAATTATCTTGTGATTACCTGGACTCAATGCTCAAAAGAAGTATACTCTCTAAACCTTAAGCAGTCAGATGAATAACTTGCCTGCAAAAAACCACCTGCTTCTGCTTTTCAATATTAAGGGATTATATGCATTATATGTGCTCTGTGTTTGCAACAACTCATATGCACAAAAAGGAATGTTATGAGTGATTGGCTCTGCAATAAAAAAAATTGAAACTGAAAGTTTTTCTCAGATTCATGAAATTCATGAAGACATTATAAGCAATCTCTTTGTCTAAGAAAATTTCTATGCATTATAGGATCAGGAGGCAATGGGAAGCTGTGGGAGTGGGGCCAGAGCTCACACTGAAATGTGTATATGAGACCAATGGTATTGTATGAACCATGATATAGATATACCTTAGAACAGGGGTGTCAAAAATATGGCCCATGGGCCAGATCAGTGGTGGTTTCTCCAGCTGGCTGTCTGTTTGAGAAATTTATGATGGGATTGGCTGTCAGCACAAATTTCAGTAAAAAAATATGGGTGCAACCTGCAGGGAATGTGGCTCACTAACCAATTTAAGTTTGACACCCCTGCCTTAGAAGATTTTTGTGGTGAAGACTTACAAAAGCATGCAAATACAAAAATTCCACTGAAACCCTCATGCTGCAACAGATATATCTACATCTGTAAACTTTCTTTAAGCAATGTAGAAGTACAAAAACATCAAATTTTACTGATTGTGACACTTACCCAAGATGGGTTTTTCATAATCTTCATTTAACCTTTTCAAGGTCAGCATTCAGCCACAGAGAAGACATAATGCCCATAAGCTAAAACTAGCCAAAAGGAATGCTGACTCCTGCACCTATGATGGTATCAGGGGAAGTGTGAATTGGTCCCAATTGACTTAAATCTTTCTGAAAGGCATTTATCTCATGCTGTCTTCAGTTTACCCATCATTTCAATTAGTTGAAATCTCATCTACTGGAGAGAACAGGAGAGTAAACTCAACCTTATTGTCACAGAACCTTCTCAAACCTAAATGCCAGTCATAATGGCAGTTTCAAAACATCTATGACTGACCCCTTACAGACACCAATGTGGATAATTTGCAATGTCATAATAAATATACATTTGTTGATGTAGTGGAAACCATATGCCTTATTATAAGAACTGCCTTACCTCAGTGAAGCAGGAAAGCTCCTTGATAGCATGAGAGGGAGCAAGGAAAAAATCCCAATATTTTCATTATTTTACCAAGTTTATAGAATGTGTTATCTATGGTACTTGATAGTGATGAAATAAACATATAAAGAAGACTCTCAAAAAGTTCTAGAAGTTGATCTAGCATGGTAAGAGGCCTGAGAGTACAACTCACGAGGAGGATTTTTTAAGACGGCTTTCGGATGACAACTGCCATGGACGGATTGGAAGGCTGAGTTAGGAAAAGAATCATATGTTGTTTCTGCATCATCTACTAGATCATACAACTATTATGAAAAAGGACTTATATTCATTTTCTGATCGGTTAGTTTTCTTTGCTTGACCCTGGCAAAATAATGAATATGGCAATGTGCTATATGGTGTTATGCTTATGTACCAGACCACCTTCCATTCAAGTTTATTCAACTAGTTAAATTTTTATATGAGTTTATTACCTGGAATGATCAACACTTATTCCTAAAGAATCACATGATGCTGTATATGGTAGTTTGATCTGGTGCATGACATGTATTGTAAAAGAGAACATGATGCAATTTATCCTTTTTCAATGTGCAAATGATTTTCCAGTGGCCAGCTCTGGACAATGCACAGGTCATGCAAAGTGCACATGGGGATAGAGTTCATGACTCAAAACTGGATAAATAGCATAAGGGAAGGATGAACTCACAATTCCTGGGACCTGTATGCAGGTGGGTAGTGGACCATCATTTTCCCTTCTGGAAAATAAAATAGAAAGTCTGGAGACATGCAATCAGACACCTTTCTTACAGGGATGAAACTTCATGAACTGACTTGCTCTTGGTGAGGAACTAGGCTCTTTGGATGAGCGTGACGAGAGTGATTCAGTAGAGCTGCTGCTCTGCAGACTTAGATTTAAATTGTTGTTCCCAGGAATGGAAGGCCCAACACCTGCTTCTGAAATAAATGTTTCATGTTTCCTGTGGTAAACTTGATGCAATGATTCTCAATTGCTTCAAATTACAACTTTTTACCTGGAAGAGATGACTGGTGGAGAGGTTTGGAAGGCAAATTATTGCGGGTCTCGTAGAGAGAGGGGTGAGACGGAGAAGACTGTTGGCGAAGCACTCCAGACTGAGCTGGCTGCTGTTGAGGTTGTGGTTGTTGTTGGCTTTGGAAGAGACTAGATGAAGAAGAGGACTGTTGGTAGGGGAAAGGACGATGGTGAGTGTGATGATAAGCAGGTGGGCTCCTGTAGGGGACATTTCTCCTGGATGAGCTGTCCCCTCCCCCGTCATCTGTACTCCGATATAGTCCCTGAGCTTTTGACTTTCCTTCAATCTGAGCCAGGCGTGGTCCGTCATGGTATGATGCTACCACTGCCTGTAATATCAAACAAGGAGTCACCAATGGGATGGAGTTTTAAGATTGTGTACTCCAAAATTGAAAATAGCTGTTGTGCTATATAAAACCTTAGACATAATGGGAAAAAAAGTCCATACTAAATTTCAAGGTACATATTCAAATTAGGATTGATAAAAATATTCTACTTCCCAACATTCATTATCATGGAAGAACTTTGGCACTTGGGCATAAATTGATGGTGCAGTACTGCCTGACTCAAACATGACTGAATGAGACTATAACCTACAAAAAGCTGGGAAACATACATGAGTAGTTGGAGTGGCATAGGTCTGCTGGGAATTGAGCAAATTGGATTGGCTGAGATGGCGAGCTATGGGATGGCCATGTTGATTAGGTGGAGAAGAAGAAGGTGCAGGCAAATGAGTGATAGCAGCCTGACATGCTGCATGGACATTGGGCTGAGACCTGGATGGCTGCAGGGGATTCAGTCCCATTGATATCATTGAATGCCTCACATGTTCTCTTTCTCTGTCCCTGTCTTTATCCCAATCACTCACTAACTCTGGTGATGTCAGAAATATCTGTGCAAAAGGACATGAGATACAAAACAGCACTGTGAATTGGGCATATGTAATATATTTTGAAGCTTGTTCATGACTTTCAAGCAAAGCACTTGGCAAATTAAAGAACAAACATGCTTTTACAATGTTTTTGATCAAGCTAAACTCTTCCTCTGACAATTCTAACAGTACTACATGTTTGGCCAAGGCAGCTCATCATAAACTAGCCAATCAGACTAAGCTTGAGACAAGGAAAATTAGTCTCATGAAAGCAAAAAGAAGCATTACCATTAAAATGAAATTTCAGTCCTAAATCCACTGCACTTCCTTTGTTTCTTACACATCACATACTGCATCATTTGCTTAGTCATTCAAAGTCAGAAAAAAAAATGTCATCAAAATCCATATACTAGATAGCTCAAACTACCCTGACCATGTCCTCTGCCAGTCTGTTTTTTATTTAAGTTTTTTTTTTATATTTTAGAATTGGAAGTCATTATAAAGCATTGGAAGTCAAATTTTGGTTGTCACCTTGGATATGACTTGTTGAGAACTACTGCCTCTTCACCAAATTCTCCATCAGAGAGGCATGGCATAATACTGACCTGTGCTTTTAACCCTTCAAGCACTGAGTTTTGGCTCAACCTCCTAAGTTATAAACGTACAGTGTACGTGAGAACGGCTTGAAGGGTTAATAAATTTGATAATCAAATCAATATATTAGCTGGGTTCCTGGACAACTTTAAATGTACCTGTTTCACACTGGATTGAAATGCATCTAAAAGTATACTTAGAGCATATCCATCCAGTTGAGAAGCATGTCATGCTATTGACATTGTTGGAGAAAATACAAGCAGTACCATATCTTAATGGCTGAATTGGACATTGACAAGCAAGCATATTTTTAAATACTCCATTATTCTTTATGATGTGCATTGAAAATGCACTGAAATTGTATTGAGGCCAACAAGCAAAAACTGTGGGGCATGTGTAAGCCATCTTGCATTGCAATTTAATGTGGGAAGACTTTTCTGAACCTGGTTTCACAATGATCTCCTTGCATTCAAATTTCCATGAGGCATCTTCTGATGACATCCTACAGTGTAGACACTGGGAATGATTTGGCATTGAGTTCCCACTTGTTAGATGAAACACTTCTATTTGCATTATTACCAGTAGGCCCAGAAAGGAAAGGAACACAATTGTAGCAGATCAGAAACATGATACTGCAGGTTTCCTATGAGTGAAACTGAAAAAAAAAAAAAGAAATTGTTATCCAGTTCTACTTCAGAACAAATACTCAAATTACCCTTACACCTGTCCTGAAAAAGTTCAGCAATGATGTACATCTCTGTCAAATCCCATTAGATTGGTATCTAAAGTAGTATTGCCAATTGCAATTGAAAGTCTCCTCAATATGAGGGGAAAGCCAGTTTCTTTTTTCAATCATGAAACTAGCCAATCATGAAAATATGAAAAAATGGATCAACCCATAAATTTTTCCAGGGGTATGTGTAATAAAATATTTTTAAAAATCTAATAACTATTCACTACATCTAATTTATTGTAAATATAGCAAATGCTTATTCACTGGTGTCAGTATTTAATACATTAGGCCATTCATCACTTTTCCAAAAAATTTTAAAGGCATATTTCAATGTAAATTCTTATTGGGTTTGCTCCAGGGCTATGATTTAACACTTTTGATCCAATGGATGTAAATGTACATCCAGCCCTATCACCAGATGATGGTGGATGCAATAGTACATCCTTTGGAATTTTCCACAATAAAATAGAGACCTTATACTTCAATTTCCAAAAAAAGAGCAAGTCTTCCACATTTTGTATTCCTAAGCTATAAACTTATTTTTGCAGACTTCAAAAAACTTGTCACCCTCTGGAGTAAAAGTGTTAATGATAAAAAGATACAACTCCTACAACATCCTTGCCTTTCATTTTGAGGCCTCCAAACTGAATTTTTTTTACAAATTTTGTATTGCATCCTCCCAATACATGAAATATTTGAGTGGGAAATACAGTGTAGACAAATGCCAAAAGTTATCCTAAAAATGTCAATGACATTGAATGAGAAAAACTAATATAGAATAAAAAATTCCTGCAGCTTTATGGTGAGTAAGGCTGAAAGTATTCAGGTTAATAACTGAGTTTAGATGTTAGGTGGTAAAATGAGTTATGACCCTTACCTGTTGAAAATTTTCAATGAGGATCTCCACTACTATGTTGCAGAACTTAATATCCATTATGGCAGCCATGGTTTCCTCCTCAGGACGGAGGAGTGTGGGACCAAAGCAAACCCCAAGGTTGCTCACTGTCATGAGATTCTTTTCACTTTTCTCTCCCACTCTGCATCATAGCCAGGTGAAACATTAAATAGGATTACATAAATACAATCACCAGTTAAGAATACCAGAAAGACTTTTGACAGAACAACTCACCTGACAAGGTGCTCAATGAGTATTTTGAGCATATCAAAGTGGGGTTTAGGAAGCTTGTGCACCAGGACATGGACGTCATTCACTCGATGCCATACAGATTCTTGTTCTAGAGAAGGGGTTTGAAAATTACAATTCCATGTCTTTCTTCATTGTAAACAGAGAAATAGACAACTATAAAGACACAGACTGGCTGCAACTATGAAGGCATTGTGATGTCGGAATGTCATCAGTGGCTCGGGGAGGTTTCGGAAATAGGTCTTGAGTGCTGAAGTGATGGTCTTGGTTTCCCATTCTGTGGGGTCATCCAAGTTCAACTTCTCCAGCTTCCTTCGATCAAGACCATTTGCCAAGAGTCGGGTCACCTTGGAGCTCACCCCGACTAGTCGATACAGACCCCGATCCTCCAATCCTGCTTGAATCACAGATTAGTCAAAGACCAGGAAAGTTTACAAATGTCACATATTCAGCTTATGTATGAAGACTTGCCTCGAGACTCCAGGATCTCAATGCACTTCTGCACAAAGGCAAAGCCAGCCTCGTCAAGATTTGTCTCCTCTGGAGTAGATGCTTTGCTTGGATGGGCATATGTCTACAACAAACAATCAAAGCAATCAGGTAAGTCCTAGAGCTGAAGGATGTATTACTGAATAAAAAAATTACATACTGGTTCCTTCCCATCCATGGCATCTAACCACAGCTTTCGGTCATCCTCAGACAGGGCCTGCAGTGTATGGACCACACCAGGCCTAGAAAGGAAAGCAAGAGGCATTTCTTGAAGTGGGACGAAGAGAAGCACCTAACTGAATTCCTTAACAAGGCTCACTTGTCCTCTGCTGTGATATCGAAGCAAAACCTCTTGTCAATGGAGTCAGACTGCCGCCGAACACAAGACTTGAGCACCATGGTCTCTGTAGAGGTCTGTAGGAAAAGAAGAAATAAGTTTTTCTAACATGGAAATGATCCAGGGGAGATGAGGGGGCAGGCAACTCACAATTTTCCCAGTGGTCTGGTTGTAGGGTATCATGGTGAACACTCGGTTCTCCTTCTGATACTGGCAATAGTGCTTTGTCCATGTTGTGGCAAATGCCTCTGCAAAAGTGATAAGAATGCATGTTGGTGATCACCATTACTGGAAAAATTAAATGAATAAAGCTGCAAAGTCAATAAATGTAAGCCTACCAATTAATTACTTTAAAGTCTTCATGTGACTGTAAAATTAAATTAAAACTGATTGAATTTTAAGTTTCACAACTCTCCCTTTTAATGGGACCTATCTAAAGTTAATGCTATGAGAGAAGACAGGGATAGGTGGGAGACAATGGGTGTGGTAGGAAATTAGGCTAGAAGATTGCAAATCCCCAGGTTTACATCAAGTGTTTTTCACTTGACTGACATCGATGCATAAAGCACTTCACATGCATGGGTGTTGGGAGTCAAGTGAAAAATTATAGTTGATTGCAATCAAGCCTGTTTTCCCTATTTTTTTGACAATCCCCTCCTACCAACCAGTCACCTCTTGAGACATTGATTGGCCAACGAAATTATTTTTCTTTTGAGTATTCCCATTAGGTGCCAAAACACTGAAACTTGACATCAATTGGATGAGATAGGCACAAATATTACATCCACAACCTACTATGTCATGCCATTCAAGCAGTTTTTAAACTCACTGGCTTCAACTTAAAAGACTGTCTTCAAATAGCTCTATATATTCAGGACATTTCATCATTGGTTAGTTCTGAAAGGTAAGAATTATCAAGTAAGTTGGTTTGCCAAAATTTGGCCTTTTTTGTGTGTTTTTTCATCCTAATAATAATATTAAAAAAACATGGCTTTCAAAGTGTTAAAATAATTCAAAGTTTACCTTAGGGAGAAGATGAGCCAGCTAAAATTCACTTAGCCTGATCAATAATAATATACTATGATCAATCTGCTTAGCTTTGGACTAGCCTAAGCTATATGTGATAAGTAACACGCACTTTTCTCCATGAGGTACAAATATCCCTGGCGTGCATACATCTTGTTTAGTCCTCCTGGATCCAATTGACGCTGGAAATAAATTCACATAATGAACCTCAAGAAATGTTTTGATTTTTAATGGTCACATGGAAGTAGCAAGAAGAAAATTTTATAAACATACCTCCAACATGCGTTGCTTCAACTGCTCTGCTTTGGCTTGGGTCATATTGAAGTTTTCTCTAGTCTGCAAAAATTAAAAAGATCAAAACTTAAATAAATTTGTTGCAAACTTACTCTCCTGGAGTGAAGAGCGATAAAAGCCAACTTGCCTTTTGCACTCGCACTTGAAGATCTGTCATGTAGGGTTTGAAGTCTTTGGCAACTTCGTGACCTTGGTGATAAAAGGTCAACCAGCCATACATGAAACCCAAAAGCTGCAAGGGAGAAAAAAGCTTTCAAAGTGAATCCATCGTGTTCTGCAGTAATGCTTTCTATGAAGACATGGAAATGTCAGATCACTCACAGTTTCCACAAACTCAAATTTTTTCCGCTCTTGAACCTCCTGAAGCAGGAAGACATACTCAAGACTGGCTTGGCAAAAATATCGCTGCTCCATCTCCACACTTGCATCGGCCTTATTGAAAAACCATTCCATGCAGTTTGGTTATATAATGCCCTGTGAACACCAAAATTGCATGACAATTTAAATGCAACCTTCTCTACTTTCCATGAGAGCTAAGAGTTCACACTCCATAGCTTCGTGCTTCGATTATTTAAAACGGAAGTGGGACACCCATTTCCCCAGTAGTTAGAGGCGCCACCAAATTAGAAGCATTCGATAAACTACTTCCTCCCCTTTAATCCCTTAACAGCTGCTGCCCTCCGCTGAAGTTAGTCTGCAATCTTCATACCGTGGAAGATCAGCCTTCGATTAAAATTTCTATTTTTTTTTTTGGCAAGTCACAAAGAAAGCTAGATCTCCTTGCTTGATGAGGAAACATCCAAGTCCCTTCCAACATCTCAGCATGAGTGGGAAAAGTTTTCAAACCCAAAGTCAACGCATCCCCCTGAAAAATGCGCCTCCTGCCCCTCCGCCAAACGCCCTGCGCTGGCAGAACCGCCAGAAACCTCGGCCGGCGAGCCCGCTGCGCGTTCGGCGGCCTTGTGCCGAGCACCACCGACCGAAAGGTAAGGCCCATCGGAAACCGGGCAGAAGAGGACTCACGGAGGGAGGCGAGAAAGGGGCCCATGAGAAACGGAAACGGGAAGAGCCGTGGGGAAGAATGAACCATGTGAACACGGGGGGACATGACACACTCTCTCTTCTTCGGGATCGATCCCTCTCCACTTCCCCAGTCCCCCACCACGAAAACGAAGAGGGAAGACTTGCTCTCCTCTATCTCATGCGCCGGCGCTCTCTCACCCGGGAATCAATCAACGATGCGGCCTTCACAACCCTTAGCGCAGGAATGGCCTCCCCCGTTTCTTTTCTTCCTCCCCGATTATCGTGGTCCTCAATGCGGAAACCAATTCACGCACCCGCGCATACAGGCCATAATGAGAGTGCATGTTAACGCAGTGTCCGTGTTGACCCGTCATCCGTGGATGCGGAAAGCCTCCTCTTTGTCTCCTCACGAAGCACGGAAACGTATCCACAGAGGTGAGATGCCGGTTCTGACGGGGCTTCAGACGGAAGTCACGGTGATTAATAACGTGGGAAGAATTCGCGCGACGTTCCCGGTTCTCGTTATTCTTCTCTTCTGACCCCCTGCAGGGAATGATAATTGAATGGGAAGAGCCGCACGTCGATTTTTCGCGGTCGTGTGGCTCGTACTGACAAAAAAAAAAGGCAACGCTTCCATCCCAGTTATGACTCAGTGACGACACGTGCCGGGAAGCGTTTTGCTTCACGCTCTTTACTGATGACAATGCCATCACGTGCACCGCCTCACTGGCCAGCCGCCACGATAGACGCGATGCACTCCCCGATGAGCAAACAGTTTCAATCTCACGATTCTCCCCATCATTCCCTCACGGTGACTCACGAGACCGATGCAATCTTAAGCATAGGAACATTTGGCTGGGACGGCAATGATCTGATTAAAATTTACGGAGGACGTGCGACACTCAAAGAATTCCGCATCAATGGGGCTGATTGTATAGTGTCAATATTCGCCCCCAGCACATTCTCCAGTAGTGCTTCCCTTCTGTAGCTCCAAAATCAAAGAGGCACAAAGTCTCCGGCGAGACAAAGAACTCACTCGCGGCAAAACCAAGCAACTATTGGGACGTGTCCTATTTAATTTTTCAGGCATTCAAAGAGTCATGCTTCGCCTAAATTTCGTAATGCTATGGGCAATCACAGGAGCACAACTATTTGCATTTGGGCAAAACAAGTCAAATTGCAAACTTACATGGCAAAGGCCATTCTTCGAGTTTATGATCCCATTATCTCAAAATGTTATGAAAACTGACCAACATATGCTTCCTAGCAAAGAAGATGAGAAAAGAACTCACCTCTTGCAAGACTGTGTCCTGCTTCTTAGTGGAAAGAGTTAAATATCTATCTTGACTCTGCACAAATTTCATGGTCTGCTTCTCAAATTTCTTTTTCCCTTCCTGCAAAGTCATTTGTAACATCGGTTTTCACATATCAAAATTAGATTGAGGCATGGAAGAAATGTTAGGTTCTCAGCCAACCTTTGCTCCTCCAATGTGTTCCTTGCGAAACTGTTCTAAAGGTCTAATGAACTGATCATGTGCTCTCTCAAGCTGTGAAATAGCAAAAAAAAATTTCAGCCATAGTTACATAAGATCCTAGACTTTCCAGGGAGAATTGAAACAGAACTTGCCATTCGATCTCTCTCTTCCTCAATGGCATTGATGAGCCTCCCAAACTCGCGTAATGAGTTGGCTATGATGATTTCATCATCTGTCTGGGAATTTCCAATGCATTCAAATTTGAAGTTGATGAGATTCTGAGCCAAGACCCTCTGAGCTCTTGATAGGTCTGAAAATAAAATAAGTGTAATGTGGACAATATTATCTAATTTCATAATAATGTGGCAATGGTATATATATATATATTTTTTTTCCTTCTTCAAAAGGGTGATTATATTGTAAGAAAACTTGGGCCCTTCAGTATCGAAAGGCAGTCCACATCTACAAAATATAGAGATGAGGAAGGGAGTTTTACATATGGTTTCTTTCAGCATCACTCCAAAGCAAACTTTGAATGGATAGTGGGATCACACTAAGGATACAGGATACTCATATCACTGGGACCAAAATGTCTATAGGTATACATTGTGCTATATGAGTCACTGATGGCTCATGCCACAGTGAACATCTTAGAAGAATTTTTTGTGTCTTATCAACTTTGTACATTTGCTGGAATTTCATTCAGTTACAACAAAGAAAGATCAATAGGTTTAATACTGAATGGGGAGAAGTCAGTATACTTCAGTTAAAGTTACACAAGGAGGGACTGGGTTTTGCAGCTACAGTATTTTCATGAGTCAAATTTTCACTTGACTTGGGCATTCATGCACAGGATGTTCCTTGTGCAGATGTGTGCATCAAATGAAAAAATGTCTGACTTAAATGAAAAACACTAGGATTAAAGCATGAGCTTAATTGCTCCAGACACTGAAGATACCAATACTGCTTACAACACACTTGTTTTTATTAAAATTATCACATTTGTAAACCAAATTTATCAACTTCAACTTACTTCTGGCAGCATTCAGCAGGTCCTTCACATTTTTGATCAAAGTTTTGATTGCTGAGCTTGTACGCTCTAACTCCTTTTCATGAGCATGGAGATTCTCTCTGAAGTATGGGCTGTCAGTAAGACAATCAGTATATTCCAAAGGTAGGAGCCCCATTTCCATTAGATATTCTGCAGAGGCAAATGATGAGATTAGCAAGACATGGCGGCTTCTATTTAGCATCATGGATGAATTTAGTCTAACGTTAGGTCAAGGCATTCCAGGCTAACTCAGCCTGATCTAGGGCTAGCCCTGGAAAATCTCCATTAAATTAGACCTAGAACAGATAGCGCTAAAAGGAATGTTGGGTTTAAATGAGACCACGTTTGCCATCTATCATGGAACCTAATGCAAATGCGTGATAGGCCAATGACGAAATCAGGAACCTCAATACTATGACGTTTGTGATCGCTCTCGTAATTGTTTTAGCCATAAAATTCCATTTAGCTAGACTTCTGTCAAAATCGAACACTAACTGAATGAGCACGAACAATTTAGGCATTCAAGATAGGCCTAAATAACTGAAAGGTCAGTTTCGGACTGAGATGCACCTTAAAATGATTTGCGAATTCGTACCACACGGGTTCCATAGGCATAATGTAATTTGTATCATTATATATATACTCTCACTTCTTCAGATGCAACATATAAATAACGTAGCACATTGTAGAAGGTAGGGCGAATTCACTTGCAAATCACTGCAGTGGCAAAAGGCCCCCCCACACCTAACGGAGATTACGGGATGCGCCATGTCTTTCCAAAGTCCTTTTCTCATCGGTCGGATATGAGTTAGCTCTCTTCTGATTGGTCGGATTACATACGACCATGTGCAGGTTTCGCCCGTCACTCGCGATCCCGTGGGTGTTGGGCAACTGTGAATAACTGTCTTGATATGAATTACCAGCGGCATGACCTCACATAGCCGGCTAATGTAAGGATGACTTGTTTCCATGGTTTCCTGTTGCAGGTGGGGCGAAGTGTTAGATGGGAAACTCGGCACTACGGACCGTCTTGAGATATAAGTGGGTGATCCTGTTCCCGACCCTCACTAGCTGGGCCATCTACGCTGATTACTCCCATACTCAGGCGTGGAAAATAAAGAAAGGCAAGCTGCAACCTCAGGCATCATGATCCATCATCTTATGAGAACTGTGTTGGTTTCTCGTGCATTCGGGTCTGCCCTGTGGATGAGTGTTAGTGCCCTCACTGTTCCGTGGGATTTTCGTAAATCCTGTGTAATGCGGATAGATAAAACCCCGTAAGATAAGCCGAGATGAAACTTCCCAGGATCCATGAAGGAAAAAAAATCAAGGATTAGTTCCCCAACCATGTGATTAAGGTGGGATGCCTGATGCATGTCCTTCAGGCAAGCATTTTCATTTCAGCCTTGCCATGGAAAAGTCTTTGTATGTTCACTTGAATCATGGGTGTCAGATCTCTGTCATCAGCGAATGAGGGCAAGTAGAGAAACACATAAGACAAGTTGGCCATGCTGAAGAGTAGGGCATCTCAACCAATTTCTGGGAGGAAATTGTGAACAGCTGCCTGCCTTCTCAAGCCTCTGTTAGCAGACCACAGGCAATAAGGTCTATGAAGCAGGTATTAAAAAAAAATTAACAAGGGCTTTGGTTACTGCTAAGCATACTTACCATTTGTCATTATGGGGCACTTTCCTTTGAAATTTCTATTCCAAGTGAACCTTATTATAACCAAGTCCTCTTCTCTAAATGTCCTAATTTAAAATATTTGAAGTCATCAGTTTATGACTTCTGTGGGGTGAATGCAATTTATTAAGCAGGTTTGACGATTTATTTAAATGTTCCAGAGTTTTGCCCTGAAAAGAGTTAATGGTCAAGAGGAAGAGAGATATTCTCTCTTCAAGGAAAGTTGCCCCCTTGTCCTACAGCTACCTGCCATCTGAATGTCCTTTGCTTATCTCTCACTACCCAGGATTTGAGTGGATACACTGTATTTAGGCTTATAAATGTTGATAGCAGAGTAAAAGCCTGTTTTTTTTTTTGACTTGTGGTGCAAATTACCAAAGTCATTGTTATTCAATGTCATGAAAATTTGGGTTCTGAATTTTTTTACTTTCTACCACAGGGTGGTTCAGAAGTAATAGGAAATGTGTGGAGAAATGAAGTGCATATGGTGTTATTACATGGTGTAATGGTTATGATGCCACTTTTTATCTTTTAGCTCAATTCCAGAGCAATGGCCAGTGAAGTTGAAAAGGCAAAGTCTGCCCAGCGGCCGTCAGGCTTGACATTATTTTCTCGCATCATTGATGGCTCCATCCCAGCGGATATTATATATAAGGACGAGCAATGTATTGCATTCAGAGACGTCAATCCCCAGGCACCGGTACATTTCCTTGTTGTCCCAAAGAAGGTGATTCCAATGTTGGAAGAGGCTCATGATGAGGATCAGCAGGTAAACATTCAAGAGTCCTGGTATGTGGAAGTACCCAGAAATTTCAACATTGCTTGGGAATTTTATCTTTGTAGTTGTTGGGTCATCTCATCCTTGTGGCAAAAAAAGTTGCTGCTCAAGAGGGATTGAAAGATGGATTTCGATTAGGTAAATCATTCACTATATTTTGAAGATCTCAGTGGTGCTCAGAGTTGACTTTGTTTCTTATTTTCAGTGATAAATAACGGGAGGCAAGGTTGTCAGTCTGTCTTCCATCTCCACCTCCATGTTATGGGCAACCGTCAGATGAATTGGCCTCCTGGCTAATCTCAATCCCATTTCATTCATTTTCATCATTTGTCAGACATGAATGAGTGAGACACATAGTGAAAATAAAAACATTGGTGCTGTCAAGCAGTTTTATTAGTCCAAAACAAATCTGAAAATTTCTGCTCTGTTACCATCAAGGCAAGCGTCACTTGTGAGGGTATGATCTCATTTTGAGACTTCTCCTGACTAGTTCGAGAGATTTCCTACTATCCCTACATTGATTCTTTTCCCAAATATGTAAGATTTATGCTGCAACTCATTTGTACACAACTTGTTCTAGATTTCTCTATCTTTTTGAAAGCCCTGGAAAAAAGAGAGTGGCCAGCCAAATTGAACACAAAACCTTTCCTAACATTAACAGAGGAATGAAACAACAAGGTGGGAAGGTTTGAGCGTCAAGTTAGAAGTTGGTAGCACTAATGCTACGGGTGACCCCCTTCCCAATGGGTCGTTTGGCACGGACGATCTTACGTCCAGCAGCAAGCGTTTTCAGACATTTGGTAGCTTCCAAGAGTTGCTTGGAGAGAACCTGGCTCCGCAGTCGTTCTGCATCTAAGGCTCGACGTAGCTGGGCTGTTGAGTCACCATCACAGACTTCCCATGATGAAAATGCTCGGTGTTGGAGCACACCTAAAGCTGAAGGACGCTCATCTGGACATGGATGTACCATGACCTATAACAAAATTCACCACATTTGTACAACAGCCTTTAGATGTTTATACAGTTGAACCTTGTTAACACAAACATGCTAAACATGAACTACTATTACCATAAACTGTTTCTTCTTTCCCCTGGCAACTCAGCATTACAGTTGAACCCACTGATAACACAAACAAATTTGAAGTCCCCCTATGGTTTGTGTTAACGAGGTTTGACTGTATTTAATTCATTTCACCCTTCATATCACCTCTCATCTCACATTAATGTTAGTATGAAGAAGATAGATTATGCCCTTACACCAAAGGAAAATTAATTCGGCCATATCAGTTTTGCCTCTGAACACTTCTTGCAAATAACACAGTATAAATATAACCATGGATGTAAAATATCCATAACTCACACTGTGGTTTCATATCATCCTATATTGAATATCTCTAATATCAATTAACTGCTTAGCAAGCTTTGTTGGTTTTGATGGGCTGTTATTTATTCATGTATATAGAGAAGTATTGATGACCTACAAGGTTTTAATATAGAGAGCTTGCTTGATTCTTAACACTAGAAGGACCAAGGAAATCATTTGGACTGCTTGCTGATTTTTAACACACTTTACTCTGCTCATTTGGCAACCTCTGATCTGAAATAAACATTTTGAAAATTTTAACAAACTGAACATACCAAATTACATCTGGAAGAAGCAAAATAAAATTTTACAGAACAACAGTTTTATGCTACTTTTAATGCAGCAGTCAAATTGATCACTCTGGTCCTTCTAGTGTTGAGAGCTACCCCAAGTTCATATTAACACTTTCACTCTGGAGGGTGTGACAAGTTTTTTGAAGTAAGCAAAAAAAAAAGTTTATAACTTCAGAATGCAAAATGTTAGAGATTTGCTCTTTTTTTGGATATTGAAGTATAAGGTCTCTATTTTATTGCAGTACATTATGTAAAAATTTGAAAATTTTCAGAGTACGTACATGTACATCCATTAGATCAAAAGTGTTGATGTTGGGGTCCCATTTCCATTAATGAGGATAGAGATGGGACATCATCAAATTGAATCCTGACTCAACAAATCTGAAAGTTCACATTTCCTGACCAAGCCACAAAATGCCAATTTTATCAACCTGCAAACTGGTATTAGATGGACAGAATCAAATTTGATGATAAACAAAATGGATATCAACCTAACTTCAATTTCATGAAAGAAAAAAGCTGGAAAAACAGGCTGTGAGAAAAATGACCAGAAACTAAAACAGAATTCAATACTGTTATCCCTAATAAAGCATGAAAACACCAGGAGATATAAGCATAACATGGATGGAAAAAGTGTTTGGGGAGGGGGGACATGATGCTATACCAATGCTGGGAGAGACATGCTGGTTGGTATCACATGCATTGCCTTGGCCACAGTACCAACATGAATAACATCCAATGAAAATATGGTATTAGCAAAACGATGTGGATTTCTTGGACTGTTTTTGCTAGAGTTAGAAAGTTTGAGTTGCTCTAATGCTGAGAATTAAATTTTTTCAAATCTCCATTGCAACACATCACATTGTAATGGAATTGTTTCCAGAAACCATACTTGATTTGCATTAAGCCTGAACTCAAGCACCAAAATTGATGTAGGAAGTTGAAAATATAGGAGCAAAAGAAAGTAGCACATGAAAAACCTCTCTTACTGAAACTACAAGTAATTTCATTTTAATAACTTCAACCATCAAATCATGAAGTTTATAAAAGAACTTCAAATTTCAAATGAGTTCAAAATCTACCCATATGATGATAGGTGAATAGGAAAGAGGTAAAAAGGCATAAAACAAGATTGAAAATAAAAGACTTCACTTACTCTGAGGAGATCATTGAAATCCTTGGTATACTGACTGAGATAGGGCAAAAGGCCACTGCGTAGTTCCTGCCACTTCTCTCCATTTTTTGGGAGAGGGGATCCACTTGCTGCTTCATAGATGCTTAGGCCAAGAGAGAATATGTCGGCTTTTGTCAAGTATTGAAAATCCTCTGCCAGGATCTCCTTAGGCAAGTATCTGCAGTCACCCTCTTCCACTTGGTCAGGTATGTCTGTGATTGAGGTCACATGGCCCAAGTCCCCTAAAAGAAAGAGAACAATATATGTTCTTCGGTGTCTAAAAAGCTGCTAAATTCAAGAAATGTATATATGCAGTAAATGTAAATATGACAAAACTTACCAATTTTATACACTTTTTGTTCTTCTGCTTCTTTCCCATTGTTCACAAAATCCTCCACAGAGGTATCTAGCCCTCTTTCATGACTAAGGAAAATATTCCCTGGCTTGATGTCCAGATGTGCCAAATTCATGGAATGGATATATCTATAAAAGATAAATATTGCAACTTCAATAGAGTTCAATTTAGAGCATAATAAGGAAATAGGACAAAGTACTCACCTGAGCCCCTGAGTAACATGAGAAAGGATCTGTTTCAGTTCAGACTCAGTGAAAGGTTTCTTCTCCTCCCTATGTTTGACAATGAGCTCAGCCAGGCTCCCTCCACTGCAGTACTCATTCTGAATGATCATGTGCCCATTCTCTGCCCAAGCAGAGTAATATCGCACAATGTGAGGATGCTTTCCCAGCACAGCATGAGCATATACCTCATTCAAGGCTGATCGCCTGTAACACAATCATTCAGAAGATATAATGATTCAAAATATTCACCCAATGACTGGAATGCACAACAGGAAGCACTGAAAAACTGCAAACAGAACACTTACTCATTGCTACTTCCAGTAACAGGCTTCTGACTTTTCTTCAGGGCATACAGACAACCATCCAAGCGATTCAAACACTTGAAGACATGTCCAAATTCTCCTGTCCCTATTTTTTCCAGTTCTAAGAATTCCTGGTGGTAACGGAAAATATTGCTTTCTTTAAGGGACAACTGCTTAGTGGATTGATGGAAATCCTTCAGAGACAGCCTCTTTGGTCCTCTAAGATTGACAGCAGGAGATGCTGTGGATCCCCTATGGAGGAAAATGAAGAATAAAAAAATCACCTTCATGCTATAGGGCAATTAGGAGTTTGACCATTCTTCATTGAGTCTGAAAAAATGTGATTTCTTTAAACTACTTCTGACTTAGAAAAGATGAACTAGTTTCAGAGAAAAATTCTACAGATGCACTACAAATTTTAAGTGCAAGGCAGTTGAACAAAGTGAAGCAGCAACCCATTCACTGTTGCTTGGTGCCAAACCTAAATTCAGATACTATTTATTCCCATCCCTTCTAAACTCAGTAAGCTGGCAATTTGTGTACATCTCCTTTCTACAATAAATATTTTATGATCCAATGAAAATAAGCTAATGAAATGAACAAGGGTGTAAAATTATGGACCATATGGCAATTTAAAAGAAGTTAGAGGAGCAGTATTGCAGAAGAGGGAAAAGACAAACTCACCTGCTTTGCACACAAAGCAGGTGAGTACTCAATGATCGTAGAACTTATACTCTTAAATTAGGACTTAGATTGACAACTGCCTTGACTACATTCACAAAACTATACTCAAGATGGTGAGTTGGGCACCATTTTTCTCCTTGAGCATTTGAAATCTATGACAAAATGGAAGATATTAATATTATTTTTTATTATATTTCCTATACTAATGCTGAAACCTTGTGGTTCCTTGCCTATTACTGTATATACCAGTGCAGTTTAAGAATCCAAAAAGTTCTTCCTCAACTTAGCTAGACCCATGCAGAAGTTTCAAGAACTCACTCTTCTGGTTCTAACACGGACCATGGCCGCTTCTTTGATGAGGCAAGGCCCTCCACATTCAAGGCAGGGTAGGGAGAAAAAGGGTTAATGTTGGCTACTGGTCGTTCATTTCTATGTGGCAGTCTTGGGATGGTGGATGGTCCTGTATGCTCTGAAATATTCTCCAAGTTTGACTGAAATAACCTTCTTGAAATGGGGGACTTCTCCAAAGGTCCAGGTGACAAAGATGTAGCACAACTTTCCAAGAGACTCCTTGGAGTTTGAGGGACATCAAAGAGATGTAATGCCTTCACACGTCTGTAAGGTGGGGAATCAGAGATTCCCTTTTCTGTGCTGGTTTCAAAGGCAGAATCAGGGGAAAAGGATTCTCCATATGATGAGCGTGGGATTGACAATGAGGATGCTCTTCCTTCATCTGACTGATTCTCTGTATTCTCTCCATCAGAATGATGGTCCATATCATCATCAGAATCAAAATTCAACTGCTTTTTTGCCAGTGCCACAGGCTTCCATGCTGGCATATCATCCTTCATCTTTCTGCAGTAACTGCAGCAAACCTGTCACTCAAAGCTTTCACCCAACCCCACTGCAGGAAAATTAAAACCACAAAGCAATGATTTACATGCGAGACCAGGACATCTAGTCAATAATAACAGTTATCCCAAACTCCCATTTTCAATCCATTCAATAAGTAGTACTGATATGGCATCATAAATTGAATGCTATCCAAGGTTTGTGATATTACAAGGTTCAAAATTCATGGGAAGTGGTGCACAGGCATCCAACCTAGTATTCTCAACTCTTGTTATACCACCACCCTCACTTATCGCCAACCTCTTCTACTTCTACATATCTCCCCATAGGACTATATAATGCACAATGTATTTAATATGATATAGTGCCAAAATTGGCGATGACCAACAGTGGTGCTTTATCAAGGGTTGACCATACCTTGGTATCTCAACCTTTCAGAACCCAATGAATTCTGAATCCTGTATTGGACACTTATGGTTAATTTCAACAAATAATACAAATTTAAATAATATAATTTGTATGAAAAAAAGATGGAACTCAAAAACTGCCTTTGGCTGAAAATGTGAAATATATACATCAATACTATAGGTTTTTTGGTACTATTAACATAGTTAAATTGAATATTAGGTATAGATTGATATTTCATATTTGTACACCTCTACTTGAGAGAATTCAGAAAGTACTCATCTTGAGAAATTTTCATGAAAAAAATGTTTCACCGTATTCTTCGCTTTCCTTTTTCTGTTGCAGATATAACAAAAACTGTCAAATCTCCCTAGAAAATGCACATGGACACACACATTGATGGCTGAAACCACTTTTCATGCTTCAACTGGGTAAAAGACTTTAATCATGTAGTTAAAACGTCGTTTTTTTTTTTTCAAGATTCAGCATTGTTGGTGATATCAAGAGGCAATTTCACCCATTTTGATATGTGTCAAGGTCAAGCGTTCCACAATTTTAAGGTAGGCCTAACCCTCTTGAAGCTAAATATTTATTAATTATTTTTTTTGTTGACTATCCTAGTTGCTTACTGTCTAGTACCTAATATCAACATTGCCCTCCACCTTTTTTGCCTGTCCATGAAAACATCCAGATTCTTCTTAAAGATAGTCACAGAAGGGGCAGCCACTACCTCATCATCTAATACATTCCACGTGTTCACCACTCTGCAAGTAAAGAATTCCTGTCTCGACCTGAGCAGCACCTGTGGTTTGCACAACTTAAGTTGGTTACCTCTTGTTCTCTTGCTGCCATCAAACTGGAAAAACCTACCAAACTCGACATTATCTATTCCTTTAATTATCTTGAAAGCCTGGATGAGACCACCCATCGTTAACCTTCGCTCGAGCAGGTTGTTCTGGAAGTGGTATGATATCTGGATCAAGCTGGAGTCTATCATAGGTTGCTTGAAGGTTCCTGTGATATGTAAGCGTAGATGTCGCAAAGTACTAGGCGGCTGAATATGATAGTCCCCTGACCTCCTTAATCATTCTTGTGGCCCTCCTCTGTACTCCCTCGAGCGCCAACAAATCGCCATTATTTGTAGGCCTCCAAAACTGGATGCAAGTTTTCCATTTACAGGTTCATGACATACTACATTTGAGCAAAGCCCCTACTTACATGTATATTTACCAAGCCACAGCTTTCACAGGTCTGCATATAAAGGATAAAGGCTGTTTCCCTTGCCCATTGACCCCATGCAATATCTTTGGATTGATGTACTCCTCAATTGGATCCATCCCATCCATTGCAAATGAGAAGTTTCAAAGATAACCTGAATAATTGGTTCCACTTGTAGGGTGCTTTCTCTGCTCACTACCAAGTGGTGTTGCTAGATCAAGTTAAAAAAATTGTGCATTAATTCATTTCGTTCAAATTAACCTTACTTCTGGGCACCATGTTAGCTTCCACGCAGTACCACTGTAAGCCTATTGAATGCACGCATTGCGTCTTAGGTCAATAGCATGAAAATAAATGGTCAAACGATAAGGAGGATACAATCTTAATGAATAAGCGAAGATAAACCAGCTGTGGCCAGCCGCCTAGTACTTTGCGACATCTACGCTTACATATCACAGGAACCTTCAAGCAACCTATGATAGACTCCAGCTTGATCCAGATATCATACCACTTCCAGAACAACCTGCTCGATCATGGCATAAATGATCAACATCCATTCCAAACATTCCGCCGCGAACGATAACACAAGCACTCTAGGCCGTGCCATAGACACGGACACAGTTGGCTGAAGACCTGGGCCATGATGAGTAATCATGATTCATCATGATGGCGCGAAAACTGTGCAGTGTTGTCGAATACCGAATTATGATGACACGCTTATAAATGACCAAAGCCTCTTTACACCTTCTGCTTGGACCTTCCTCCAATAGTGATAAATTCTACAATGCAATATGCAGAAGTTCTTCTATATGAATGGTTTGATCGTATCGCATGAAAACAATTGTTGTTTGAATCCATTTGTGTCATCCGCAGGGCCGCAACGCTCAATTACTCCAATCAGATCACAGCTCGTCGCCGGGAAAAAAGGAGGTTCTGGCTATTGCCTAGTCTGTATTCCTTAGGTAGTGTGCCTTCTCTGCATAATAATATAGGCATTTTTTACTCTTGAACGGAAAGAAATAGTACTATCTTCCGTCTAGGAGTCATTTTGTAGGCGAAACAACTGTTCATATATTGGTGGAGTATGACATACGCTTAGACCTACAATAGGCCTATATTTTGAAATGGACCGGAGGCCTAGGCCACTTTTCGAAATTGAATAGGTGTGTTTAGGCCAAGAAATATAAATGATACGAGTGGATTTGTATAACCGCAGTTTAGTGGATTTTTTGGAAATCAATTGCCTCCACTCGATAAGTGGTTGTCAAAGTTATGAGTGCGTATGCTTTTTTTCCGACGAACTTAGTACGTACCAGGGCGACGTTGCAGTATCTGCTTCTAAGGTACCCGGAAGTAAATGTTATAGTAGTAATTTCATTAGTAACATGAACCATTAAGACCCAATTCATACCAAATACTTTGCTATCTATGCATGCTGGAAAGAAGCTGGCAACCAAATATGAAAGTTTTCAGTCCCATTCAGCCAGTACAAAAATTACATTGTGGAATTGCAATTCTTGGAAGGTTTCATACATCCTGACTGTGTTCAAAGTTGTCTGAAAAAGCATTGCTGCCCAGTTGTCTGTGTATGAGTTGCTCTGGTGTTTACTAGCTGGGAAAAATCCCATACCTTCCAGGTGAAGTTGTTAGAGCATTGTATCTAATTGTCATTTTTACCATAGGATTAGCTGGGCAATTGCTGGGACAATAAGAATTGCTCATATTTTATCTTGTTCTATTGAATTAGCTGCCTCTGGTGCATATAATTGGTCTATAAACTTATAGTAAAGACACTATTTTTATTAATTTATATTTTTTTAGCTTCTGCAAATTATTGAGTGTTACATCTGCCTTAGTGACCTCACAGGGATAATAATTCATAATTCATTCACCTGTTGATCCTTAATTGTCCCTATTTGTTTTTTAAGGAGAAGTATCATTGCACAGAACAAAGGAATGGGGTGATTTTCAAAATTGTATGCTAAGCACATTGTTTTTTATATTTGTGTGACAAAGTCTGTTTTTTATATTTGTGTGACAAAGTCCTATTTTTATTTTTTCCTGAATGATTCCTCAAAATGTATGTATCAAAAAGTTGGCAGAATAATGGTTTCAGGTTGGTGTGAATGGGAAGAAGATATTTATGGATAGACCAAGGCCTGGGTTGAATCTCACATGGAATAAGTGCAATCAGTTTACTCTTGCCTTGAATGGCACACTCATTACTTCTGCAGGAGTTGTATTAAAATCATTTGGAGTTTGGAGAACAATGATTGCCACAGTCCATTTTCAGCAAATGTGAGTGAAAGCCTCATAACTTGACTAAGTTGCTAGTGCCATGCCATGTTTGGGAAACCTGATGGAAGGAACTCTTTGTGTTCCTCCAGTTTTGTGATGGCACAAATGGAGTGGCAGGGCAATGGGGGCTATAATGGGGCTATTACCGTGTTCTTGGTTCCAAGATTTTTGTAATTAGCTTAAAAAAAAAAAAGAGAGTGTTAGTTGAGATTTTAATTTCAGAATTGCACACATCCTTTTAGCTAGAAATAGGAACACAACTAATGTATATGTTTAAACCAAGGAAAAATGTGTTTATATGCCTAACTAGAGACAGCTTACAAAATGTGGCTTTCATGGATGAGGTTCACATTTTTCCAGAACTGGCCTGTCAATTCTGGTGGCAAATGTACAATCTGTCACAGCTCTCACCTTGTCATATCAGATGGTAGCAGAAGACCACCAAAGTAGTATTATTTGCTGAAATTCTGTTGACATCTCAAGAACTGTCATGTACATGGTCTGCTACTGCCTGCTACACCTGCATGGTGCATTTTTGAGTCAATGTGTTGAAAGTATTCCTGGGGTACAAATGGTGGGGAAATAGGTGTCAATGTTGGTTCATTGACCATTTGGTTCTTGAACTAGGTAGCACTCTTGCCCTTGGGCTGATTTAAAAACTACAGTTCAATTGCACTTTGGTTCTACTTTCAGTTCAGACTTTGGTCTGACTGAAGTTCCACTATGCCCTTGTCAACTTCTATCATAAAGAAATCCCAACCAGTACTATGACTGAACTAAAACTGGAACTGAACTCCAACTGGACTGCATCACCCTTGGTCTGGGTCTGGCTCATTGAAGGGGGGGTGTGACTGGGTATCAATAAGCATATTGCCCCAAACTTTAAGATTTGTGCATAATGCTATTTTGGAAAGTGTCCATTATAAGTTCCATTACACCAAATATCTGACTAGCACAAAAGCAGGAGCAGCTTATCCATTCTAATTAACTATCGAAGTGTAATGAAAGTGAAGGCTAGACATTCTTGCATTGAATTTTTACAGGAGATGAGACATGGATTCATCACTTGCAACTTGAAAGCAAATGCCATAGTATTGAGTGGTGTCATGCAAATTCTCCACCATAGGATAAAGCAAAGTGCCTACCTTCTTCTGCCTGAGTCATGCCCTCATTTGTCCAGGATTACAGAAGGGGTGGGCTTGTGAAGTTCATGAAAAGAGCTAACAATCAATATGGTGCTCTATATAGCAACACTAAAGTGAATAATGGCTGAACTAGAGTAAAAACAACCTGACATGCCTGTTGTACAAGTAATCTTGAAATAATACTATGCACTGCTGCACATGCTATCGTGGCTGCTATGAACAAGATTGGCTTTATTTTCCTTTATCACCTGCTATACATTACTGACACCACTCTCAGACTAGCATCTTCTCAGCCCGCTTGAGAAAGGACTGCTAGGAACCATTTTTAAGATGACAGTTCTATGAAGCAAGCCATATCCCAGTGACCGTGAAACACTGATGACAAGTTTTACCATGCTGGTGTGCATGCCCTCCCAAGATTGGCAAAAGTAGCATAGATAATAGTGACTTCATGGAAACATGTTAACCTGATATTGAAGCTTGTACCGGCATTTTTAGATCAAGTCTCTCATTCTCTGATGTGTAGTTGCAGAGAAAAAATCAATAGCAGGGCTTTGATACTCTTCATAGTATATAGGGCTATGTTGCACATAAGCCTTATTTATCATTTGTTTCATTTCTGGATGAATTTTCTCATGTTGAGTTTATATGATGCAGGTGAATTCATCCATAGGGTTACTGAAATTTCTGAAACATGGATGGAAAGCCAGGGGCCTCAAACCATGTGCCCAATGCTTCTGAAGGTCTAGGTGTAGGTCCACGAAGAAGTGCAAGGTTGGTTCGTAAGCCAGTGGGAATAAGCAATGGGACTAATCAGGCAGCTGCCCGACTTGCTGTGCCATCAGCAAAATCTACCAAGAGCATGAGAAATGATCTCTCCAAAAAGGATCAACAAGAATCTCAGAAAAAAAAACCCTTAGAAGGAATGCAAACAAATAGGCTAGGTCCAGGTTCTTCATCACTGAGAGGGCAAAAAGCTGCTCCCTCCAAGACGATTGCAGGGCGAACAAATGGGAAGATAGAATCGAAGCCTCTACCTCAGGTTGGCCTATACCTATTATTTTTTAATACTGGATTGATTATTGACATTGCATGAATTCCCCCTCCCTATGTTGATTTTTGATATGTCTTACCAGCGGGTGACTGGAAAACGACCCAGCCCATCAACAAAAACTGCACCTGGAATCTCTGCTGTCAAGATGGCCAAAATTGGGGATAAGTCAGGGTCAAAACCTACGAAAACACAACACCTTCCTCATGAGGTTAAGGTTAGTCTGATCATGTTTCATCATATGAGATATCAATGAGTATTTAGGATAGTGTAACCATTGGTTATTGCATGGTGCACAAAATGATCAATTACACTGGGAGATGATAATGAAAATCCTCACGCTTTGGCACTAAATTTTGGAATGGGATGGCTTGTTCTAAGTAGTTTTACATTACCGTATTTACTCCAGTATAGTGCGCCACCGTGTATAAGACGCACCCCCGCTTTTGAGGTCCCAATTTGTGTTAAAAAAAAAAGATTCCCCGCGTATAAGGCGCACCCCCCTATTTTGTAGCGAAAAGTGTCGGACAAGGGAAACGCGATTCATAAGCAAGTTGGATTTTCTGTTCGTCGGAAAACGTCAGCAGCTTTCCATGAGAAATTATTGTCTCTGGAACGGCCCCTCGGAGGAGGATGTGAGCTCCGCGAATCAATTTTCCACGCCGCCAGCCACCTCAGATTCCGATTCCGATACTGAATGAAGTCCGCGAATCGACGTAGCCACTCCCTGTTTACCGTTTTATAATGATTATATTTCTCCTGTTCTGACTAACTGCAGTTTCCGCCTCAAATTAGTGATCAATGAGTTATAGATACGCTGAAAATTTTTTTCTCGAGTATAAGACGCACCCCCTCATCGAACACAATAAAATATGCAAAAAAAATGCGCCTTATACACGAGTAAATACGGTATTATGACCTGGAAAGCTCCATGTTTTTCTATTCAATAATATATGATAGAGCTGCACTTGAAATCAGACTTTTCTCATATTCTGCTGATGAGAGCTCAATCATTTAATATATTGCTTTGATCCTCATTGCTATATTTTTCTCAGGCTCTTTATGGGATCCTGGCTGGCAGTGGATCCTTAGACAGGGCTAACCTAACCCTATATTGCATCATTAGATCTCCAAATTTTAGGTCACTTATCAGATTCTCACTGCATATGAAAAAAATAAATAAGAAAACACAAAAATATTGGATATTTAATCACTACTGTTGTCCCCTGTCTACTAATTAGGCTACTATTAGCCAGTATCTATTACTGACATATCAGAGTTTTCATATCTCTCCTGGAAAACAAAACAATATGAAATGGGTGACTAAGCAGGCATGCTCTTACTGTGCATGACAGCACTGAGATGTGCCATATACTCCAGTATTGCCTCTATCCTCTTGTTCCATATTTGCTTTCAACCTTTTTGAACAAGGTGAAATGGAGGAGTTTCCAACTTTTCCTAAGTCCTGCTTGTTGATGATTGAAAGCCTTATAGCTTTCAATCCACCCAACTTTCTTGCAAGTTGAGTGGATTGCCTGTCTGTCTTGCTAATAGGAGTCATTTCCCTCTGAATGCTTCCTATTGAATTTTTTAATCATTTCCCTGTTGGAGGATTCACAAAGAGGGGGAAATGTTGCACACTAAATGTGCTCCCCTACAGCAGCTGTCAGTTTGTAGGAGGTGGATTTTACTTTGATCCTCCTGGCTGACTCCTGCAGGGAACATTAGACATGCATTACATTATAGCATGTGGTATAATGTAATGCTTGCACAGTTCACTTTCAGCTTAATCCTTGAGATTTTGGTGCAATTTTAGTGAAAACATTGAAGTTTCCTTCTAGACAGGAGGAAACTATATCAATGGAATTTTTTTCAGAATGGACAGGTGACCAGTGGACCCTCCAAAATCCCTCATGCTCTTGCCGTGACCCAAGTTAAGAAGAGCTCTGAAATTGGGTCATCGAAACCTCAACATTTCAATTCAAATAGCAAAGCAGGCCTGAAAAGCACCACTTCTCAGGCCATCCTGAAGCACCCTGCAGTTCATCAAAGGAAGGTATAATAATGAGATATTTCTTTCATCCCCCTTCCATGGTTTCATTCACTTTTAAATTTTCAGTTATGGAAAAACTTTACTCAATCAAATTTCATACTTCTTTCATTACAGGTTCCAGTTGGAAAGGTAAAGACACTATCTCAGTCAAGCACGAAGTCCTTGTCTGCTGACCTTTCTAAGCAGCCAAAGGTATCTCTTTCTATTGTCCAAAGACTTGAAAACTTTATATTGCCTGTAAAGCTTGATTCTTTATTCAAATTGCTTTTACAGTTGACAGGCAAGAGACCTGGTACAGTTAAGGCATCTGCTGCATCATCTCCCTCAAAGAGGACAAAAGTAGGCACTGGATCTAAGTCTAGTTTAGGAGGAGCAAAGCAAGATGGTCACCATTTTTTGAAGGTCTGATGAAAATATGCTCTTTGAAATTAGTTCAGAGCAGCATTAGGAAACGTTCACCCGTGGATGGTTGTTGATTTCCTTCCAGGTGTTGGAAGAGGGCTCAGAACGCATCAAGGCACTCATTGATTCCTGTGAAGGTTATCTCAAGGAATCAGCTGCAGAAATGTCAGAGGAGGTGCAGGGTACCCTGCGAGCAGCAATTGGAAAGGCCAATCTTCTTGTAGACCAAAAGTTTCAACAGTTTCATGACTTGTGTGGAAAAAACATTGTGAGTTTATGATGACGACTTGTCAGCATTTCCCTGCAAGACTGTTGTCCAATATTGTCTAATGCTCTCTGATTATATTATTTCGCTTTGGTGATTTTGCCTCAGGAGCCCAAGGAAGGAGAGACTGTTGTACAAAATGGAGACTTGACTGGGTTTTGGGATCTTTTGTCAATTCAGGTTGAAGATGTGACCAATGCCTTCGCCTACATTGAAGTTTTACGTGCCAATAATTGGGAAAAGGTGCACCACTCAAGTTCTATCCTGTAAAACTTCCTCATTCATTCCTTATTTTGATTTTGTTGCCTTTTTACCAGGTGCAGGCAGAGCAGAATACAGTGGGAGTCTCTAAGGAAGGCCAAAAAGATACTAAGAAGGCAGAAGGAGCTAGGGTTAAGCCTGCAGTGAGTCGACCTCCTCTCCAGAGCAAGGCATCTGATGAGAAACGGAAGCAGCTTCAGGAATTTAAGCAGAAGATGAAAGAGAAGATGAATGAAGGACATGCAAACAGGAATGCTGATTTGATTGTGATCTGAATTCTTTCAGTTTAAGTGCATATCTTTAGCTACTGGTGTGAATGAGGGATTTTTAAAATTTCACCAATACTCAAACATTCATTTTTCACTTCCAAAATGAATGTGAACAACTTCACTATTTTGAGTGGTGGAGCATTTGTGCCATTCATGGGATTTTTGGGCATTATTTGAATGGTTTACTGCAATGTGACTCTGGGATTTTTAGGCTTTGTGTGTGACATGGATTCTCTAAAATGTGACTTTCATATTAAAGCCAGTGTGAGAATGTCAATAGAAATGAAATTGAAGTAATAAAAGTGCTTTTATGTTTTAACCAATGCAGCTACAGGAAAATGATGAAAATGAACTAGGAGAGATTCATGGGAACTTGGTTTTGAAAGATTAAAACTTCTGTATGGCTGCAAGAATGTGGGTATAGTCATTGAAACAGTCTTCCATAAATGGAAGACTGTCAAAGACTGACTTCCAGATACTTCCAAAGTCAGTTTAAGTGAACAAACATTTTAATTACTTTCACTATATGGCAGAAGCCTGTGAATGACCTGTAAATGCTAAGTGTATCTTGCTAAATAAGAATGGTGGCTTAAATGTGAATCTTTTCAGCTGTATGATACAGTATGCATGTGAGGCTTAGAAGACTTCATTGAAGATGAGGCTGAAAGCAAAGAGAATATGTTTGATGAGAAGGACATTAAGGGAAATGTGCTCTTTTCTGTCTGAATCATGGAAAGTGCTTGAGGAATCCTGTATGGTTGAACAAAACTTTTTGGATACCGGTATTAAGTTTTAGGGACTTGTCAGTTTGCCAATGAGGTGTTGCCACATTTTTCCCTTCAAGTTTATATCCTGATGTCCTCATGAAATGACAATACAGTGACAGAAGTTTCCATTGCACAGGGCTGGAAGTCATTAATTATTCATAGAAGTCTAATGGTACTGGTCAAAAATTCTATCCCACCAATGTGAGAGGTTTTCTTGTCCAGTTCCACATTAAGATGTCCTTGCAAATTTGTGATACCAGCATAATACTCATTTGGACCTTTTTTGGAAAATACATCTGCCTACTGCACTACTGGTTTTTTAAGTTATTATTTAGGTATGTCTTCACTACCTTGTTCTAAACTCTAATAAAAGGGAATAAGGTTGAAAATTTATTTACTTGAGTGCTAATTTTTCCATTCATTGCTGTTATGAATGAGGTCTACTGAAAATTGGCATCCACACTCATGGATGTCAATTTTTAGCAGCTGAAAGCCATTATGAATCACAGAAGAACCAATGGAGGAAAGCACCCAAGTCTATAAACAAGATTCCAATGATGACAACTTTCCAAGAGGTGGGTGTCTGATTACTTCTGCAAGTATTAATTAATTACACATGATTAATCACACAATGACACATTAATTACACCACTGCTGTTATTTGGAGCTTTGATATGGGGCATGGACCTGCCAGAATAAGGCACAGTGATGAAAGTCATTCTGAACACATTTGGTGGGTGGTTGTTGGGAATCCCTACAATTATATCTGGCTCAGCAGTAATGTTGGAACTTGGGAGGAAAAAAATGGCCACCCTTATAAGACAGAGTATAGTAAATTACTGATCAAAATGTTTTGACTCTGCCCCTTAGTTCAACATTGCCTGAAGCTACAAGTAGCAAGAAGATGTCAATTTGGAGTTAATACTAGGAGCAATGAAGCTATGGAAATACTCAACATAGAGCATACCTCGAGTCTAACAAGGAGGTTAGTTTAACCCCTTCACCAGCAGACCTGGAAAATTCTTGCACTGACTTATTTTAATATCTCATAACTTGCTGGTGAAGGAGTTAATCAACACCTGAGAAACTTTCAGCAAGCCATGGATGCAAAGGAATAAATAGCCAGGTGCTTCATGAGGGATCCCTTGTCACTGCTTTGCAAACCCAAGTTTGTAAGATTGCAATTGGCCTGCTATAAGACCGAAGCATGGAAATGTAGGTTCCTACAGGACTATGAAGACTGTAGATACATCTGTCCCTTCTGCAAGGGAGAACACACTGAATTCCACATCCTGTTTCAATGTTGTAAATGCAAGGATGCAAATACAAATATACAACTTTGTCTAATGAAAACTGAAATCAAATGCCTCAAAGTCTCACATAAGAATGTATTCAAGGATGACTCGGTATGAGAAGGCTTGACAGCTTTCCATGTAAATGTCTCTGCTCAAGGAAAAAGATCCTTGAAAGGGCCAATGAGATACTAAGGGCTGTATGAAGTATTCTCAAACAGAGAACCACACATATAAGTATGATGCATAGTTCTTATTTTCTGCAGGTCTTCCATGAGATTCCAATATTGGCCTCATTGGACATGACTTCATATCTTTTACATGGTTTCTAGGTGATTAATGAGTTTTTATTAGGGTCCTTAGAAGAGGTTCATATCATGTGACATGCAACATATATAGGTTTTGCTGTATTGATTTTTGAAGTTCCTAGCAGGTAATGAATTGACTTGGAAGACTGAATTAATCTTTGAGTGAAATAACATAATACAAGTAGATTCCAAGTATGTTTCAAAAGTCTAATCTCAGTACCCAAAACTCCCTGGGGTGTCTCACAGATCTCTTTACAAAATTCAAGTGGCAAAAATTCCTAAATACCTACTGGTAAATGGGGTATGTTCAGCATGTAAACATTTTTTTCCACCTTCCCCTCTTGCCAAATGGATGACACACAAATACAAGGTGTTGTGTAAGATTTTCAGGCATTTTATTTATAAATTGAAGCAAAACCCAACATAACCCAATAATCATGAAGTCGTCAACTCTGCATAATTGATGGGAGTTTCAGGATTTGCCTTTTTTTGTGGGTTATGAACTGCTTAATGCAACCAACTTGCTTTTAGATTGGTTTCCTCAGCAGATAATTGAAATTTGCCAATTTGCACCAAAATATCAACACAGAGATAGCTTTTTGACAACAGCAAGGTGCTCATCTCATGTTTGAGGCTTTTGGCTGATATAGTCCTTCACAAACCCAATAAAAAGTAATTGCAGGGATTAAAGGCTAGGTTGCATGATGTCATGTGCCAAGATGTGTCAGGAAATTTCTTTCATCAGTTGAGGAAATCACAAAGCAATGTGGCCATGTTGAACTGTTTATGACCCACATTAATGACCAAAATTGAAGTTCCATCAGTTGTGCAATATATTGCAGACTCATGATTATACTGTTGTGTTGGGTTCTGCTTCATTTACCAATAAAGAGCCATAACATAAGTAGACAATTACCTTCAACTTTTCAGGCAAGTTTAAACTGTAACACCCATTGAAAACAGTTTTTCTTAATTAATTATTGGAGTTTTGATTTACTTTTTTAATATCATGGTGCATTTCTATCTATATTGCTGGACAGAACATTGTGTATAGGGTCAAGACCATGGAAGCATCAGTCCTAAAAAATCTCAAACACATTGGCAGACACCTGGATTTTGGCTTGAGATCTCAAAAAACACACTGATGTATTTCAAGTGGACTCAACTGTGATAACATTCCAAGTCAAGTCAGTAATGTCCCACAGTAGGCCTACAATGATGATGGCTATAGGCAACTTGTTTGCCTACATAAATGATAAAAATAGCTATCAAAACTGGTCAGGAAGCAAAATAACTCCATGAATGCCTTCATACATGCCTTTTATTCATTCAAACTTTCACAATACATTGATATGATACAGGAGGACATGAGCTGAGAACTCAGATGAACAAGGATGTGAATTTTCTTCCCACCCAAAATATTAAAATCCCCACAATCACAGTCAATATAAATTGCCATGAAAAAGCAGATATCATTTTAGGAAATGGGGGCCCATTAAGGTGACAGGATTCATTTTCTTTTCCTTTTGTACAAGTGGCATAAAACTCAACTGGCAAGACTGGGCTTGTTCATGCATCTTTGGACTTGCTTTCCTCATCTTCATCATCAGAGTAATTGTGAGGAGGCTCTCCTGGTTTCAGTAATCTTCCCACAAGGTCATATTTCTCTGCAATAAACAAACACAAATGGCCGATAACAATTTCCTTTCCAAGAAAGAATATTTCACCTCCAGGGTACTTTTCATGAATAGACCCATACATAGCATAACACTTGGAATTCAGTGAGAAGCTTTGTAAAGTAGCAGAGACATTTAAAAAAGTTCAAGCTAACCGATGAATTGTTGCTCCCATTCTCGGACAGAATCCATCTGTGCTGTAGTAAGGTCACTCAAGTCATCATATCCATCTTTCACTTCACCAGTGGAGAATGTTGCTAAACCCCGAGAGGCATCTCGACCACCAAAGACAGAGTATGGGCCCCCTGCAGAAAATCAGCAATCACAATAACAATCACCTACCACCAGTTCACTCTCAAATTTGCAACATCTGTATGCTGACATCCAATGTCTTACACAGCAGATTCAAATTGCAAGCTACTAAGCATTCCTAGTATAAAAGATGTCACTCAAGAAAGCTTTTCAATACAGTAGGCCTATCAGCCAATAGAAAATTTTGCACAGATGTTCTTAATCAGTAGTGCTATCCAATAAGATCCTTCAAAACAAGTAAACTTCAACATTTTTACAAAAGTTTAACATACATCTTCTTTACATCTTCCAAAATAACCAGAAATGGTGACTGCAAAGGTGGAACTTTTGAGTATTTTGTTTAATCACCCAAAGGGAAAACAATGTTCTAGGTATAGGGAAAAAACCTAAATAAAACCTGAAAAACCTATAGGGAAAAAAATAGGCAAAACCAAGATCCCCTGATTACTATCTCTGGGGCCAACGGAACTGTAAATTATATTAAGAAAATGACCAAACATTTGACAAACTTCAAGTTAAATCCATGAAACTGTAACTGACATCAATGTTGACATTGACAAGGCTACTTTCAGACAAGGGCATTGCCTAAATGTATGGATTGTTTACTGTACCTTTCTTCAAGCATGAAATAAACATCAATAACCTTTCAAATATGGAAATTTTGCATTTATTGGTTCAAAATTAAACTATACAGTGTGCCAGCACTAAGCAGAAAATAATACCAGCTTAATTTTCCTTAGATTTTTCCTGGAAACCTAAAGTTTACTCCTGGCAAACAGGTGTGGTAACAACAGCTAAATCTCTCATACATTTCTTCTGAACTTAGAAATATTATTGACAAATTGCAAACATCAAAATGAATAAGAAGGTTTTGAAAATGATCCAGGGATTCAATTGGATCCATACCTATGGTTTCTCAGATAAATAGTCAGCCATAAAGTATGAGTACCATATTGTCACATTCACATGATAGGCTCACTGGTTGAATGGAAGAAAGACTGTTTCATGGAGGATACTAGGGTAAAACCATCTAAGTTCAGACAGTGCCTAAGTTTGGGTACTACCCATTACTAGTACATTGTTACAAAACCAAGCATCAGTGAACTCTCCCTCAGAAACTGCTCTTCTCAGCTTGGAAGAGCTGTTCCTGAGGATCACCTCGCAAATGCTTTGTTTTATTAAAAATTATTTTATGGCGTCCAAACTTAGATCGTTTTACCTGTTTTGTTATTTTACTCATATCTTGCTGCAGAGGGCATGTAGAATGAGGATTTGGGTTCTATAATTAATTTGCAGATCACCAATTGTCCAAGGCCAGTTATAGATACAGTTGCCACTTGATATAAAATTTACTCTGAGGGGCAAGCAAAATAATTTTTTTTTATAGAACATTTTTTTTATAAGGAACATTCTGCATTTTGCAGGAAAAAAAAGTGATCTCTTCAACAAAACGTCATTCATAGTTTTAAAAAAATGCAGTCGTTCATACATAAAAATTTGTGAAGGTCTGTGCAAAAATTGTATTGCGAGAATACTGCTTCCAATGTGTGTATGCACATTAATGGGCATGCACAGAAGTACATCCTTATGTAGGTGCAATAAAAATCAGATGAATCAGGAACAAAGTCCCAAATGGTTATCAACTATGCACTTTCCTGGAGGATTCTTTGAGCTATGGATTCTCTAAGCACTCAATGTTTGAAATGTTTCAGGCTCAACATTTGACCATTAACTGAAAAATAGCTGGAGATAGTCTAAGACTTTGCACCAATAAGTGGGTGGGGCATGCTCAATTTAGATGCAAGATTAAATTTTCCAGGAATGCATGAAAGAAAGTAGATCTGACATGCACAGCACATTTAAACTATGTAACATGGAAGAATTATGTTTAAATAATAATAAAAAAAACTTTGTAAAACTGAACAATTCTCTATAAAGAACTTCATTACATAAAAACTTTTCAATGTGCCCATGAATGGGCAAATGACCAGGAACTAAAAACAAAATTGTAAAAAAGAAAATTCATTGTATAAAGACTCATCAAGTATCTACTGTATTTATATCTTGCCTGGAAATTGTGCTTCAGTAGCTCATGAGTGCTGCAAAAAAAATCTCCCCCTCTTTTGCACAAAAACATCTTTCACTGCAAAATTAATTAGCCCCAACCTTGGGTACATTCAAGGTCCAGTCAGGCATATTCCCCTACCAATCCAGCCTAGGCCTGCATAAATACTTCGCAATCCTTAGTGAGCCTACTGATGAGCCTGGGCTCATCGCCACACCAATGAACAGCCGAAGGCCCAACACATCCTTTGACCATGCATGTTAGGCAGAGCTAGTAGCTCCTCCAAGCGTTTGCATAAATAGTCAGATCAAGATCTGGGGACTTACCTTCTCCGTAGAACTTCCTCCCCCTTGTGACATCGAAGACCTTGCCGTTGACAGCAATCAATATCCTTCCATCACCTTGTTTCCCATCGAAAATTTTCAGTTCATCGATGGTGAAGTCCCTCTTTTTCATCTTAGGGAGTGAGGGTGAGTCCGATGCCGAGGAACGCTCGTCACCTTTGAGCCGGGAGCCAACTAACTTGTAAAGAAGGTAAATGCACACGCACAAAAGACATATGTTCAGGGGGCTTTCCACTATCTCGGATACCAGCGAACTCAATATGCCGACTTGGCCTTCCGTCTCATTCATGGGGTCCGCCATGTTTGCAAGCTCAGTGTGCTGCTTAGTGAGGTCTCCGCCAGATGTCGTCACTGTCACATACGAAGAATAAAAGTGCCGCAGGGCATCACAAGGATATGTCGGAGTTCGAGATTCACCACAGCCAATGATGACTCGCGAGTGTTGCTGTGAGCTAAGCCATGGTGATGAGAAAAGAAATAATGAAATTGGCATGCATATCACAAATCCCCCTCTCTTAAGGTATGGATACCAACTATGATATTTAATTCGGAATTCTCCATATGAATTCTAAGGTAAACGAGCTCGCCGTCAGTAACAGTCAAGGTTTCGTCAAAGGGGGGCTAAGAGAAACAGAGGGGGAGCTAGTAACTTCTCGGTGGATGGGGGGGGGAGGATGGTGGACGTATTTCGACCAGAGTTGGGGGGCCTTGGAGGCCCCAGCCTCCTCATCCGCTACGCCACTGTTCGCCGTGCTTAAAGGTGGCAAGGAACCATGCTGCACTGATTTGATTACAAGCAGTGGGGTCAAGGATGAGATGAGTTATTCAGCGAGGTTAGACCCCAAGAACTGGCGGCACTGTTTTCCCCATTTCAAACGGACATTTTCAAAGGAGCTCTCTTTCGATCATTCGGCAACATTTGCAATGCCTGGTGCTCTTTCGATTCCTTGCCCGCTGTTTCGCGCGATTTGGAATCTCGAAGGTCACTCACTCTCTAGTTTTATAACACACCAGTAGAGTACGAAGAAAACGAGGCCGTGAAACATACCGCTGCTGAAGGCTATGAGCGAGGAGAATGACTGGGCGAAGACGTGACAGCTCATGGGAATCAAGCAATGACGTTGCCAGTATTTTGCTCAAGGTGGAGGGGAGGGGGGGGGGGTATAATTTTGCTCATTTTCTCTAGGAGGGGGGGGGGGGGGAGAATACATTTCGACCAGAGTCGGAGCCAAGTTAGAACCAAGTTTGGGGGGCTGANTATGGCCGTGGCGGTCGACGTGTTCAGGAATTCAATGCGAACCTGGTCATAGGGGGGGGGGGGGGGGGGGGTTTCCCCCCCCCCCCCCCCCCCCTTCTGCTACGCCACTGGACTCAATTGCTTCTTGTCTTTCCCAACTTTATCCCACTTAGGTCAACAATTGGTTTCAACATTCCTGCACGAACTGAATCTTTTTTTTTATGATTGAATAGCTTTCGAATAATCTCTTCTGGCAGTTCCATTTTCCTCTTCCCAATCTTCATGCGTTTCAGACGATAGCATCGTCATGATGAAAAGCGGCTACGAATGCTTTTCCATGGCACGACAGAACCGTCCTAGTCCAGTAAAACATTCAACGCCATCCACGAAATCGATTCCTGGTTACGTACCGGGAGGTTCGAATAAACCGGAAGAAATACCCCCAGGATTGGCGAATGCGGAAGAATAATCTCTAAACGAAAACACGAAAAGCTAGGCTAATAGCCACTCGGCTGCATCTCAATACGCTCGAGTGACTTTTTCATTCATTTAGGAGCAGTAGGGCACTCCACTTTCCTTTTGTTTTTCTCCCAATGATTGAAAATCGTATTATTTTAAAGAATTGCTAGCAACCCATCCTCAAATCTTTAAATCATACCCCTTAAATCAATCACATCCCTGCATCAATGTCACTAAACGCCATCAAATGAATTTGCCTTCAATAATATGATGTACTGTGACAGGTGGCTTTTCGTATGTAAAAGCCAGGTGGCATTTTCCTTATCTTTTTCATGTCTTGTCTTGGGTGGCCTTTTCCCTCTTCTGTCTATGGGAGTCTCTGATATCCCCTTGTACGTCACACCCACGTGACCGGGAGGGACCACGGCTCCCTGAACTCCATCTGGCGGATTCAACGGGGAACCATTCCGTTCCTTTTACTCGCTTCAGCTCATTTCCGCGGAGCTGAATGGTGCTCCGAGAGCGAAATGCTCACGATATCCTCTTCTTCATAACGTTGCTCGTTACTCATTTGCTGGGACTAATTTCCAATCATTCAATTCCTCAAGGAACTCACTAGCAGCTAGCTAGATATCACTGATTGCACCTTCTAAAAGCCTCAATGGCACCCAAGGATATAATAGCCACCTTGAGGCTTGAATGCATTATGGCTCTTGTAAGTCTATTTCCTTCGGTGATGAGAATCGGTAAGATTCCTGTCAAGAGTTCCGTGACATCAACGATTAATGTGAATGCCAAGAAATCCGCGCAATGGCGGTGGAGGAAATTCCTTGATATTGGCTCTACTTAGGAACATATTGCTGATTTTGAAACCGAAACTCATAGGTTAAATCCACGAACCCATGGAGCACTTATCCTCCATGCTTCGAAGACTGATATGGCCAGGCCCTTCAAGAGGAACAAAAACCTGTTGCATCGCAGTCGGAGTCAACAGATTTCGATCAGCCATCTGGAATTCAGTCGATCAGATTTTCAGTCGGACGTGCAAACCCCCCCCCCCCCTGAGTTCATACTCGTGCTGTACGGCATGCTTCAACTGCATACTTTGCTCAAAAATCCAATGGATGTCGACATTTTTTACCGTAGTATCAACATCCAGCATGCTGTAGAGCACGAGTATGAACTCGGCCTCGCAGTTCATAACCAGCTCGAAGGTTCTAAAAGGGTATGGATTATTGGACTTCTGAAGTGTACTTCATGCATATCTTGTGCATTGCCTAACTGAATGGCTACTGACAATGTACGAGAGGTGTTTGGAAAGTGAGGCCCGTATAACTTCTCTATTTCAAATCTTAAAAAAACAAAATTTGATACATTGATAGAGGTGACAGTTGTCTACTTTTCTATGTAATCTCCATTCCCAGCTACGCATTTGCGCCACCTCTCAACCCAACGTTCAAATCCTTTTTTGTAAAAATCCTCAGGTTTCCTCCAACCACTCCTTTACAGTAGTCTTATTTCATCCGCACTATCAAATTGTCTTCCCCGCAAACCATCCTATATTTACCCCAAAAAAGGAAAATCACTTCAAAATCAAAAAAGGATTTGAACGTTGGTGGCGCCAATTTGTAGCTGCGAATGGAGATTACATAGAAAAGTAGACAACTGTCACCTCTATCAATGTATCAAATTTTGTTTCTGTAAGATTAAAAAAAAAAAATACTTTTACCCAAACAGGCATTACTTTCTCAACACCCCTCGTATATCTTAAGCAAAGTTCTAACAGGTTACAGGCCAAACGTTAAGGGAAGCTAAAGTATCCAAGTCTAAGGCTTATACGATCGGTTACTGGAGACTCTACAACCTAGGCATATCACTCAACATGGTTTATAGATCACGTGGATAGAGAGAAAGGGAGATGGACTTGTTGCAACTCTTTCTTACTGTAGAAGAGCACGGTACGGGGCACGATTAATGAGTGTGCGTCAACCTGAGCTGAAATGTTTCTTCGCCGCTAGAGCGACAACGAACGATGACGTCATGCGTTAATGGGATGGAGGCGGGGAGGAGTGAGATATGTGAGAGAGGCGAGTCCAACTCTGAGAGTGTACTTTCCTGGTAGCCTTTACGAGCTTTTCTCCGAAGATCCGAGAATAGATGCATGGAACTCTTGGGGCCTGGGCCCGTTCGTCGGAAGCCTGCAGGCTTCTCGGCTATCTTTCTCTCAATCTCGTCTGCGATACGGTTGCAGGCGGCCTCAGCCGACATGATGCCTGCGGGCATGACCTTTGCTAATGTCATTTCCGTGTCTTAACACCAATTCTCCACCAGCCCTCCGTCGTCAGAACCAGCTTTGAGGTGGAGGCTAAAAGCGGGAAAATACGCTCGCTCATTCCCTTTTCTACGTTCGGTCAGATAACGCCACTGGGGAGATCAGCTGGAGCGATACCTAATCAGGTTCCAGGAATTAGAGAAGGTCGCGGGACTGGATCATAGTTTAGAAATAAAATGTGAATGGATTGTCTCTCATACGCGTTCTGCTCTTGTAAGGTTGATATTTATCCCACATTGGATCCCTGTGGAGGCCATTCATTTTTTTCCATTCCCGCCCCGATTGTGGACAGTCCTGAAACTCTGGATGTTCCAGCATTAAAAACTGTTTCTGTCCCACTCCCAGGGCCGCCCAGAGAGAGAGAATGGATGGGGCAAAGGGGGCAATCTGCCCCGGGCCTCGCATGCCAAGGGGCCATAAGGGAGCCTCCAAAGCAAGGCCGACCCTAGCTATTTCGGCGCCCTGTGCAAAGGAAGCCTCCGCCCCCCAGCAGGGAGAAGGGTCAATCCCTAGCGTCCAAAATGACGCTGAAACTGAAGGCATTTCCACTTCCTGAAGTAAAACTGAGGGCGGCATCCATTATTGCTCCATACATTCAGTCACGTTTTGGCGGCCCTGCCCACTCCGGTGGGATTCCTGTTAACAGGTCCTGAAGCGAATAGTACTAGCCACTGCTAGTAGGCCTACGCTATGGGTATGAGGTTGAGTCGAGGCTTACGCCTAGGAGTAGAACTACACATACGGCCGATGAAATAAAGTAATTCACTCGCAGGCCTCACGAGAATGAAGCGAGTGACCGCCGCGGCGAGGCAGCACTGGCGATCCACGTGTCGGCACCGAGAAGGGTTGTCACAATGTCGGGAAACATGCTTTGTCAACTGACTTTCTCTTCCCAGAAATACTCGGGAATTTCCTGCATTCCAAGTATTCCGACCGAATCGAAACTTCATCATGATGCATGAATACGATATGTCAGCCGCAATCGCAACTAAATCAGTCCCGGATGAAAAGCCCCGTGCACCAGCCTCAATGCCCCCCCCACCCCCCCCCCCCCCCCCCCCCCCCCCCCCC